CATGACATGACCTAAAAAACAAGGTCATATCTCCGAAACCAAAAATCACAGAAACTTGAAATTTTCAGTGGACATCAAGAAAGGATAGACGAGCAGCTATACGAAAAATCAGCCTTCTAGCTCTAAAAATGTTGAGTGCAGAGCAGAAAGACTGCCTGGGGGGGGTGGCAACCACCCCCCCCCCATGTGCGGGCGAGGGTTAAGAGGCATTAAAACTGAACTTGACATGACATTGTGACCTGACCTCAGGTGACCTCTGCTTGATTTTTATGCACGATGCAAAATTGATGTACATTTAGATATACCGCTACTTTCGCGGCGCTGCGCGCCGAGGTTTTTCTCCGGGCACACGAAAAAACCGGGAGTGTGGCTAAAAACACCCCTACCCATCAAGACAAAGACCGGAAACCCGACCCCCCCACTCAAAAATCCGTGGCGACGCCCCTGAGCTGAGGTTAAGCTAGCTGAGATCAGAACTGACGTAACGGGTTGAACTGAAATCACCATGACGTCACTAGCGACGAACAACGACGCCCCCGTGATGCGGAGCCGGATCCGCTGCAAGCGGTATCTACATTTTGCAAGGAGCTGGACCGCAGCCGAAACCGTAAAAGCGCCCCGAAAAGCGCAATATTCTTAAATTCGAATAAGCATGCTGCGCACGTTAATGAAATCGCATGCTGCTGAATGCAAACACTTTTTCAAAACCGAATTTCTACTAGAAATATGCAAGATGTCAAGGCCGACTTATCCGCAAAAAGTCAAAAAAAAAAAAAATCCTTCACCAGTTATCCATGAGAAAGGATCTATGCTACAAGCCAACGTTTTTTTTTTTTACATTCGTTGGCATACGTTTTCAACAATTTCTGACGAACCCATAAACAAGGTCAAGCATATACCTACCACTCTGTTTGGAATTATCCTCTGTCATCGTCTCCATTATTCTCTAAAAGTTGACCCAATATTTGGATCGATGCACATCAAAAACAAAGGAAGCCATTACGCTACAAACCAGCATATAAAATGAAATGAGCATTTATCAGATGACAAGCATCAAATTTCTCGGAATGATTAAGACCGTCGTGTTGGTGTTGGATTCCACATCATTGCAAACGCCAACCTCCACCACTAGCTGGCTGCATGCGACTCGCTGACTGCAGACTACCGAGAATTATCGGGCCTCGCCGCGACGGAGCCCCTGTGACGACCGCTCCGTTCCGAGCACCCCTCTCTCTCCCCCGGGGAGGACTGGGAAGGAGGGTGGTATGCACGGCCGCGGCGCTGACGCTGTGTACGGAGCCGACCGCGCGCTGGCCAGCCGCCAGCGGCATCAACAGGAAGGCGTGCCGGTCGTGACGGGGCGCCGCGCGCGCTCACGGGCCGCCGCCGTGATCTGATGTAAGGTCAGAGGCCAGCCAACTCACGGCCGGGGGCGGCCAGTCGGAACACCGCGACCGGCCACCGCGCGCGACATCCGGTACACGTCGCGCTAGTTAAACCCTTGTTAGGTCTCCCGTTCAATTACAGGATGTGCTCATCCCATCTACCGTCAGGATTGTATTGACTTCTCCCTCACAATCGGGTAACTAGTTGGGACCAGTGGTTTGCGCAGGCCCCGGGCCTAGCCGAGCTTCACGTTAGCCCGAGCCCGGGGCCGGCTGAAGAAATGAAACAGCATCCCGCTGCCAAAGTGATAATCCATTCCTCCAAAACCGACCGTGGCTCGAAAACCTTTTTAAACCTCGCCCGTATTGGTGTTTCGCCAGCCGCGAACGTATAAGGGGAGGGGGGGGGGGGGGTTGGGCCCTCTTGCCGATTGGCCCCTGACCGAGCTAGAGCTTCGCAGAAAAAAAGAGCGTTGCCCGTGACGAGAGGAAGCCGATGATACCCAATTTTAAGAGCTTAAGTCATTGGTTGACCTTTCAGGTCAGGTCAATTACCTAAAGGTTGGGAAAATCGGCACCTGCAAGAACTTCGTAAAGAGAAGCTGTTGTGGGGTTTTCGGAGCGCTGATCACGAATATCATGTTAGTTTAAATCACAGATGAAATCTTCATGCATTTATGCCAGAGATCGGGTCAGGTCCGGTCAACCAGTACGGGTCCTGCCGGGTATTCGTAGTAGGTGTCAACCGCCTCTGACAGCTTCGTAACATGTTACGAAGACACCAAAACTAATTCGTAAATGATCAAATGGTTGCTAAATTCGAATTCAGCTACAAAAACTAGCCTAGAAACATGTAAGACTCGAAAAAACCAAGATCACCAAAGAGCAATGACCTGACCTGACGTTCAGGTGACCTTGACACCTACCCTAAGGCATGGGACCAGCATTGTCACATGTTTGAACGCCTGAAACTACGAAAAGACTGCAAGTACAAGTAATGCGAACCAACATACGCCGAATCGCGATTCAGGCCAAACATGGTCTCGAAAAGTAGGTAATAGGTCAAATGTCATTGGGTCACAGTCATGCAATTTTCAGGGTAGGTGTAAAATTGAATAACGCGAGGGTACCGAAAGTTTCGTTGAGATCGGCCGCTTTTTACGCGCCTTATTCGCAAAAACCGAGGGGGTCCGTTCGACCCCCCCCCCCCTCTACGGGCGAGGGTTAATGCGTGCTCCGCTGAACGGACGGTGAAACTACAACAATGAGGCGAAAACAGTATCCCGGTAGTGACAAGACACACTGGCAGACATAGTCCATGCGAACAGACAGTTTATCCAGACCATTCAAGGCTGGCATCTCCGTCACCTTTGCTCATCCTTGATCTTTTTTTCTGTTTTGGTTGTCAATTCTTTTTTCACCTAATATTGAGTGGGACATTTGACACACTTGCAAAAAAAAATCAAGGGTTGCATGCTCTTTGCTGAGCCCTAATGAGAAAATGTTTTGTCTAAATGTCTGCTTAGATCCTGCAAATGATCTAAGCAGACATCTCAGACATCCTTTTATCTCAGGCCATGGATGAGAAACACCACATAAGCAATTGTCTGGATGAAGAATACCTTTCACTTCATGGATGAGAAATGCATCTCTCTTCTATGCCTTGTCTGGTTTGACAGGTTGTAGGTATGTTGCAGCACAGTCAGCTGATCCCATTGTTTGGGTATAATAACAAGGATGTCAGCATAATGTGTCACTAACAAACCAATTCTTATGTTGTTGACTTTCTTACTATGCAAACCCATGCTTTTCACACCAGCACTTGGTAGGTAGACTGTTTTGTGTGGCATATTATTTGTGAACTGTGAAGATACTCAATAATGAAAAAACAACTGGAAGCTTTGAATGTAAAAAATTAAAATGGCTTTCAATGTCAAACCAAAAGCTAAGAGGGCTATATATAACAAGAGCTCATATTTGATGAGTTGAATCTTAATCATAGGTAGAAAGGCAGAAGTAAAAGAAAGGTAAAGTGATGCATTGAAAATGGAATACACTATAGGCTAAAAGTAACCATCAAAACTAGGTAGCTAATGGCTACAAGAAGCTCTTGACAAAGTTTAGCTTAAATGTAAAATAATGGTACCCTTATCTCTAGATAAAATGAAAATCACCTGAGAAATATATCTAACTTTCAAGTCTCAAGATGGATAAAGCATATAAACACCATCTATGCAAATATCTTAGTGGTTACTGGTTAGTAACTACTAGATAACCCAAAGTCTTCACTTTTTACCACTATCAGTGCAACAACACCAAATGCCCAAGATGGAATGGGTTCTGAATCTGATAAGGTGAATGTTAGTATATCCAACTTACCTTTCCATGGTGGTAAGTATCTTCAATGGTGATAGTCTTTCAGTAGGAACTTAGGGTATGACTTTAGGGGTAGAATAGGGTATATTCTTAAAGGAGGAGGTCAGAGGATAGATGGAATAGTGAAAACCAAATTGTATAGAAAATTATGTCTTAGCTTTCTTTATTTGAATAAATAAAACTAATATAGCATACTGAGGGTATGCATCTGTCAATCACAGTAATGACAATGAGGGGATTACTCTTATTGATAAACTTATCAAAGCAATGCAAGCTTAATTCAGGGTCAGGTTAGGCTCAGAATGTTTCCATCAAATCTAATAACAGTTCAATGGTTCATTTGACATAAAGTGGATCCAGAGGTACAAATCGGAAGTGAATTACACTACCAGGAGCCAACAGGAAGTTGCAAAACACAACAATGTCACAATTTCTTATCAATCCTCAATACATTCCTTGTCCTGGTAAGCAAAGGGGTATCTACAATGAGAAAACAGCTGTAGGATAGGGTGATTTCAGGACGGGTGTCGACTTGAGTAGCGCTGTATGAAGATTGCAGTGGAGGAGACCCAGCGGCCAGCTTCAGCTGTGGAACAAAGAACAGCGGGCATCAATTTACAAATACAATGCACAGCAAGTCCCAATGAGTTGCAAAATAGTAACAAATGTCCTGAATTCGGCTCAACTCACCAGAATCGACCTACGATCAGCTGGCCTCCAAGCGCACTCGGCTCGGCCCAAATCCAACCCAAGGCCCTCTAACCAACCAATAGGACCGGTTTCCTGTCAAGAAATACCAATGAATGAAGCATCGATCGTGAATCTGTCGAAAAAATAAGCTTTATAATGACGTAGCCGATAAGCAAAGGTCTGAAAATAATCCGTAGCTGACTATTTTTTGACGTCAGAATGGCTTCTTCTTAGTATTTTCTATTTCAACATACTCGAAGTACACAATTCCTAAACGTCTCTTACACGCTGTTGTTGTCGCAAAATTGCTGCCATTTTTCTGCAATATTTTATTTTGTAAACAAAGTTTAGCAGACGTTTCTTTGAATTTGTGATAAATTATTTATTTTTCACGTTGTTCTTGTTTTGTTCATCAAAATTTTTCTTTATTTGGTCATTGAAAAATAGAGGAATTATAGATGAAAAGAACCGATTAAGATGAGATGAAGGATTAATGAGATGAGTTATGAGTGAAGGTAATTTCTCGCAAAGTCCAAGCAGAGTCTTGACAATTCTCACTGCGAAGCTGCAAAAAACCGTGCAAAAAACATGTAATCGTTTTTTTTTAACGTTTAAAGTCGGAAGGAGATGTATTAGGTCATGTTGTGAGATTTGAATATAAAACAAAGCGAGTTATATTCTAATGGTGATAATTTCCCTTCAAAGCATAGTATTGTCTTTCAGATATGCTTCTGCTGCGCTGTTATTGTATTTTCCATTCTGTATATAACACATATTGTATTTTTTCCAACATTATAGAGTTCAGTGATAAAACATTTTTTCCCAATTTTAATGTCAAAAACCAAAACCGGTGTGGTAATGGTGGGCCGTCTTTCGACAATTTGCATTTGCGCGATAATCTAGTCATTTTCTGGCAGTATTCTTGTGCATTTACGCATTTTTCATACATTATATAGGTACTAGCAAGGAAGGCAGGTATATTTCGTAGCAAGTGTTTCTGATAAAATACTTCTCTTTCTTTTCCTGTCGGCCTAATTGGAATGTCAGGTTTTCAACATAAAATTGTATCATTTTTTACTTCTATAAGTCTGCTTAACCTTTTCCAACTACTAAATGAAGTGAAAGACTTAATGGCCGAGCCAAAATTGAGTGAGAGTGAAAATCCTAAATGAACCTAAAAATGACCAGTCTAAATATGTTCTGACCTTAAAGTAATTGGCCTGCATGTCCGTGGTTTTGTTTGTCTACCCTATGCCTGGGTTACAGCAGAACCCACACAATTTATCAGACCACCAGCGCTGAGGCTGACATGGTCTCTGTCCTGACCACTGCAGACTCATTGAGACCCAAGAGCACACTGAATTACATGATGAAGCTCCAACAATGTTTTTTTTTATTTCCTCATCTATCTCTTCTGCTCCATTATATCTGTCAGCAAGCCAAATCCACTATATGCACTACACTAAATCTGCACTGCACCAAGCCAAATCAACACCCTGTTTACTGTTACACTAAATCTGCACCCCACCAAGCTAAACCCACACCACACCTATTCCACAACAGCCAAGTAAGCCTGCACGTACAAGATCTTGTCAAAGTTGTGATACTTTGCAGACTTATGGTCTAGTAGCTGTGATATTAGGTAGGGTCTAGGGAGGTGTCATTGATGGTATTTTATGTAAGTTCAATCTATCTAGCCTGCAATGCTTCAATTTTACATTTTTTCAATTATATTCCAAGAATTTAAATAGTTAAATATACACTGTGTGGCACAAACTGCCTGTCACTCAACAATGTAGATACCTATCTGTTGTGTGGTCCTTCTGTGCTACCTTGGTTCAAACCATCAAATGAATACAGAAGAGCAAAACCCTTACATTGTAGGTAGGTAGATCAAAATGGGAATATTGTTCTGGCCTGACTGCAAAGCATGTGGCAGCAGAATTAATGATCTGCAGTGAGCACCAGCTAGGATGATGAGTTGGCACCAGACCACACCAGCTGGGCTGCAAAGTTGCACTAGTGAACACCAAAAAGTCATACAAATTTATTTTGAAAAATAAAAATATTTGTTTCTTGCATCATTTTCACCAGCACAATGTTTCAGCACAATGCCTATTTAGGGCTTGCACCACTCCACCCAAAATCAGCATTGCACCAGCCATATCCCCACAGGGCCACACACTAGCTGAGTGCTCACTCCCAGCACCTGCAAGATTAACATTTTGCTGACATTGTCATGTTTTGCTGTCTGGCCCCCTGTTCCTGTGTCTCTAAGGGCCTCAGTTGTCAGATACCATTTATTGTTCTGGCCTTTTGTTTGATTTCCTTAATTGTCTATTGCTGACATTTTCTGTTTCAGATGTTTAATTTGTCTCATTGCTTGTGATGGAATTGATGGACAACTATGAAGTGTCAAGCCTTTGATCACCATGGAAATTGCGGGCCAGTTATGCTTCACTTATGGACTGTAATCGCCACGCCACGCGTGGATTGTCCATGAAGGTAATACATACATACATACATACACATACAAGAATAGGTACATTATTTTTTATTTGTGGACAAACATGTTTCCAGCCACGTTTAACCCTCGCACTTGTAGCTGGCGGGTCGGATGGGCCCCCCCCCCTCGGTTTTTCGCGAATAACTCGCGCAAAAAGCGGCCGATAGCGACGAAAGTTTAATTACTCTCGAGTTGATTGATTTTACACCTACCCTGAAAATTGTATGACCTGGACCCAAATGACCTTTGTCCTGTGACCTCTTTCTTGAGACCACGTTTGGCCGGAATAGCGAATTTTTGCAATTGTAAACGTTCAAACATGTGAAATGATGTTGGTCCCATGCATTGTGGTGGTTTTCGAGGTCACTTGAAAGTTGAAGGTCAGGTCGAGAGCCACTCCCGGTCCTGGTCCCGCTCCCTCTGCTTTTTTATTCCATCTTCCCCTTTTAACGTAACGTAAAACAAATGATCTAGCTCATTGTCAGCTTCTCCTTTCCTCTAGCGATAGCCTTGCGCTAGCAGAGATGCAAAAAAAAATACTAGCTTGAGAATTATTGGATGCCAATACTGTTTTGATTTATTCGCCTAGGCTTCCCTCGAATTTGAGCTACGCTTCAGTTGACGAATTCCGGTAAATATTTAGGCGTTTGATGAGCTCGAGTGACGAGTGTCCACGTAGTGCTAATCTGACTTTGAAAGCATCGCGTACTTTTGCTGCCATGTTTTACGACTCACCGGACTTCCGGCCGCTTGTCGCTGCGTATACGAAGCTTTCAACACCCTCGTGTTAATCAATTTAAACTTCTCTGAAAATGTTATGTCCATGACTCAAATGATTTCTGACCTGTGACCTCTTTCTCGAAATCTGTCAAGCCAGGATGGCGATTAGACCATTTGTTACGAGCGAGCGAGCGCAGCGAGCGAAGCGAAGTCTTTTCAATATAACGGAAAAAATCTCAGTATGATCGGCCCGGCCCGGCCCGGCCTGTAACGCTTTTGAGAGGCTCATATCTCAGCAACCGCTGGACCGATTGACCTGCGGTCTTTTTTGCTGGGTAGCCCCATCCCTTTTACCCCGAAATTGACTACTTTTTACACATCTCAGTGACCGTCGTGGCACGTGCCACGTGAAAAGTCAAGGGTGTTCAAGCTGTTTTGCGAAAGTAGTGATTTTTAGAGGCTCATATCTCAGCAGCTGCTTGGGCGATTGTCTTGCGGTAATTTTTGTAGGGTAGCTGCATCCCTTCTACCAAAGGTCGGATACTCTTGATCTATGTGAGTGACCCCCACTGCACGTGCAAAATACAAAAAGAAGAGGTACCAAATTTGTTCCCATTTCAATAACTCGGTAATTACTGGGGCGATTTCGCTAAAACTTGGCATACAGGTAGGCACCCACCAGGCAATGCATTCCCATCTGTTGCGGTTAGGGTGCTACTGCACGTGCAGGGGGCGCTTCCAGATCTCGAGAACGGCTGGGCCGATTGTGCTCAAATTTGGTACACGGTTGGAGACCGGTTAGTAGGGTGCCGTGCAAAGGTCAGTTTGGACCCCGGTTGCACGTGCGCACGTGCAGAATGTCGCTTCCAGATCTCAGGAACGGCTGGGCCGATTGCGTTCAAATTTGGCACACCGCTAGCGACCGATTAGAAGGGTGCTTTGCACAAGCCCCGTTGTAAGTATCCTCTCGCCCTTACGCACGTGCAGGGCTGGGTGCTTTGCACAAGCCCCGTTGTAAGTATCCTCTCGCCCTTACGCACGTGCAGGGCTCACTATCTCGCCCGCTCGTTCTTCGCCCAAAAGGCGTTTTACTGGTTATAAGAAACCTGCCAACTTGTGAAGTGGTGTTTGTCCCGTGGAGTACAGTACACCTTGGGTGTTAAGGTCGTGTGAAGGTCGGGTCAAGGTCGAATTGACCTCTGCTGACACTGGTTGACTTTTGGGAGCAATTACAACTTCTAAGGATAGTTTTTGAGCCCATGAAACATGTTGCGGTGCTATCACTGTAGATATGAATAAGTACTTATAAACAATATTCTGGTCCCGATTTTCCCGAAATTTGGGTCATTGACCTGACCGGTAAACCAATGATCTAAAACCGTAAAATTGAATGCCGTCGGCTCTCTCTATTCACGAAAGTACGCTCGTTTTTTTTTTTTAGCGAAGCCAGAGCTCAATCAGGGACCGAACGGCTGGGGTCCGCCGTCCGGTCGACCCCCCCCCCCCATCCCCCATGCGTTGGCCGCTGTGAAACACCAACACGGGCGAAGACTAAGGCACGAATTCACTTAGCACTTGATCCAAACGATGTTAGTATTAGTATCATGATCAATATCCTAATCATAGTATTAGGACATGATCAGGGATCGCCGATATAACAAATTTGAGATAGGTACCTACCTACATATTTGGGGGAGCATCATTTCCCGAATACTGAACCGCAGTTTTTAGCTCGAACAAAGAACTTAAGACAAAGTCTGCTTAGAAAGAAGGGGCCGAAATGGGCAGCGGCAACCATTCCCTGCATCAGTGCGTTCCCGAGCCGCGCGTGGTGCGTGACCGGGCGGCGGTGCCGCGCGCGATCGGTAGCTGGCCGCCGTCGGGCCGTCGCGTCGGCTCGGCCTACAGTCGGTTGGTGGATGGCGGCCGGTGATCGGGCCAGTAGTACCCGGCTGGCAGCGCCGGCGGTGGTCGCTCCGACAGAGTTCTGCGGCGTCAGCGGTGGTACGGTGGAAGCTACGGTAGGAGTTACGGTGGGGTTTTGTCATACTGGGCGGTGAGTTAGTAGAGGTGGTGTTGTAAGGTGTATTGTGGACGTCTCAGACTTATTTATGTCGTGTCGTGTAGTATCGTGTAGTCACCATTTGTCACTGGGTGGTCGCCGAGTGCTGAGGGACTTCTTCCGACAGGCTCGGTTGGATACGGGGCTAGTAGTCTGTATTGAACTATGATCTGTTAAATATCTTGACCAACATGTTACTGCACCCATCCAGTTAGTGTGCGACCTTGTGTCCCCCAACTCTGTCTTTATGTCCCGAATCCCGATCATTGCTTCCTGGCCAACGGAGTCCAGTGAGTGTCCCCTCCCGCCACAATCGCGGCTCTTGGCTCCTTGTCCGGCCCCGATCCGCCCACCATTCTGTGTCCCGCCCTATATCCTGGGACGTAAAGGCTGTCCTCCCAAAGAGTGTTCTACTCTGTACTCTACATTTAATTCCGTAGAGTTGTTCGATTGCCTTTTTTTTTTTTGCTTGTGCAATAGGCTGGCCGACAGTCTGGACTGTGAAGCAAACACCTCGGTTTACCCGGGATGAATCAGTCTCTGTGAAACTGACCGTCTCGGATGTCTCGCACTTCGCAGGCAAAGCCGACCGTCTCACTGAACTCTGCAGTCGGCTCTCTGCCAGTTTTGCGGGCCTGCGAGATCGACTTACTAACCGTTTTTGGTTTGTGCTGTCGGTTTAGGCCATTCAATTTATTTAGACCAATTTAGTTATGTGTGATGCTGGTATGTGGTGACGATACTGGACTGAGTTAACCACCAACAGGCAACTGGGCTCATGACATTGGAACGGGAGTGTCCCAGCGGGACATGCCAAGATTGCTTTACTAATAGGACAGGCTGCCCAGCCGCTCAAACGGTCACCTCGGAAGACGTTTCTGCTCCTACTGGGGCCGCCATTCACCAATTGCCTTGTGGGATAACTTTTAGCTCGGATCCAAGATAGGTAATGTGGATGAATTGGTCCTGAATATGTATAAAGAGGACGAATGCCGGCCTGCCCGCCGAACTGCTTGGTTGACCGATCCTGCCATTTAGCTGGCTCGGTAGGGCTGGCTGGCTGGAGGGTCGCCTCACTGAACTGTGTAAGATGGACCGGGCGGCCCGTTTCGCGGGCCTGCGCGGCCGTCTGGCCGGTCTCTCGCCGGCCTGTATGGCCGGCAGTTCGTCACTGTCCGATTGGAGTCGCCAAACCATCAGTTCCCTGCTCCGGGTGAAAAACTCGGGGACATGACGCCATCAATAGTTGGACACCGCGCCGGCCCTGTGCCGGCGGCAGAGTGGCCAGCCTCTGCCAGAACGGTCCCTGATGGACTCATGGGGCGCGAGCTGGCGTCAGCTCACGCCCTGATCAAATAATCGCCCTAGCACACAGAAAGCTCCTCGTAAAACATAACGTTTATCGCACTGCTGCCGGATATACCGTTGCCGTTATAGCGGCGTGGTTGCTGTTCCGTACCCCGCCGTCGCTCCGGCCCGGCTGCGTCTGTGCGGTGCGTGCAGTTGCCACGCTGCGCTGGTAAGCTGCAGATCGTGACTGCGGTACCGGCCGCGTTCGTCCTGCTCGGTATTCTCGACGATCGCCGGTCGGTGCGTCGGCGTGCCTGTCTGTCGGACCGGGCAGGTCCGATCTGCACGGCCCGCTGCTGCCCGATACCACCCCGTCTCGGGGTGTGGGTATCGCCAGCGCCGCGCCTCGGAATGAATCCACCCACGGTGCGGGTCAAATGCCGCCCTATCGTTAAACTTCGGTGCATGACCTTTCCGTCAAAATCAGGATTGAAAATAGCCAAGCCTGAAGTTGTGTTGCCAAGGCCATTATATCGAGTTCGTGACGTTTTGGGCTTTGGCCCAAATGTTGATGCCAAAACCCTGTGCACAGCTATTCTTGAGTGACACGCAGTGGCTACCGATATGTCCGCCCCCTAGCTGGCGCCGGCGCTGTCTCCAAATATCGTATGCTGACGTAGAGACTGATGGGCCATGGCCGACGATCGCCGGCAAATGACACGGTCGGGCAGCGCAACCTTCACTAATTGATGAACACGGACCGGCCTAATGAAGACGAATACGGCGCGGCCTGGCACGACACCCCTGCGCCACTCAGCCGTCCTCTGCCGGTGTCGGCGAGTCAGTCTGTCACCATAGTGCCGCCTGGGGGACAATTGGAGTGTTTGTTTGTGTCTTCACATCAAGCAATTAGTTTTGTTTTCGTTGGAGTCACTGTTGTGCTTTTCATTAACAGAATTAGCACATATTGTGGTCTTGAGCGGACAAGATACAGAATGGGAAGGAATACTGACAACGTTTCCGCGCACATTGAATGTGGAGTTTTATTTTTTATGTACCCCCCCCCCCCACACACACACACACACATACACATGCACATGCTTTTTAGACCTATCCGTTTGTCTTTCTGCTTACAATTGATAATTGCGTCCACACCACTGAGCTGTTTGTCTGTCAGTGTCTGTGTATTTACAACTGACGTATTCCGTCCTCACCGTATGTCTGTCTGTCTGTCTGTCCGCAGAAGGCTGATTGGTGCCGCCGCGTACTGCCGTCACTCTGACAATTCAGAGTCAAACGAGGTGTCGCCCTGAGTGAGCGGAGCTCCCTGTGGGCCCGCCGGAGCTAAACTCTGCTCCTCCGTCCACTGACCTCGCCACAAACCACTGCCGACCTCTCCGGGATCCGTGCGGACCTCTCTAGGAGCCGTACCGACTTCGCCGGGAGCCGTGCGGGCCGCGCGTCGCCGCCATGGCCGGCGGAATTCTGTCGTCGAGCGTGGACGACCTGCTGCCCAGTTCAGTCGACGATTTGTGCCGTAACCCGCTCATATGTCCGCTCTGCAATCAGGTGAGGCGGGGGAGGCAGGGGGTGCCGCCGAGCCAGCGCGGCTGCCGACTGCGAGCCGGTGATATGGTGTATGGGTACCGAGAAGTGGCGGTGAAATATGGGAGGGCGGTGGGATGATGGCTTTCATAACGTGACGTGATCGGAAATGCTACTTTTATTTAGGTTATAACTTTGTACCGCGGGATTGCAAAACACGCCAGCTTATTTGTTGTGCTTTTGATATTTGAACGTACTTTTTGTCATTTGGTATATTTTTCCCGCTAATGTTTGTCATTAGTTATTTTTGACACAAACAATTTACACTTGTAAAGATATTGAATGGCTGGAGTTCCAGCGCTCCAAAAAATGCAATGTCCTTATGCAAGACGGTTCTTCGAGTGAGCTGTAATGGCGACGTCTGTTGTGCCTACTCCCTATGAGTCAGCGGTTATACCTGCCGGTGAACCGCCGCCTACCCATCCCTTACCCCTGTCCCATATCCCATGTCCATCCACTGACCACCGACAACGTCTGCGGCAGGTGTACGAGGAGCCATGTCTGCTGGTGTGTTTCCACTCGTTCTGCGCCAAGTGTCTGCGTGTGCGCGTGGTGGACGGCCGTGTCGCCTGTACCGTCTGCAGGTGAGCGGGCCGTGTGCGAAGGGCGATACCGGTCCGTGTGACACGGAACATTCGGAGATCCAGCATACTATAACGTGTCTCGTACGTATACGGCTGGACATACGGTATGACGTAGCGGTGTACGACATATGAGGTGGATGTATGCGGAGAGGGGATACGGAGTGCAATGCATGCAGAGGGTATGTAACATGTCAGAGACATCATTAGTTATTTGATATGGAACACGTGCGCAGTGCGTTAGCAGTTAGTAATTGTAAGGTAGGGGCGAATCATAATTGTGTGCACAGATAAGCGTAACAGACGCTATCTCAGTTCGCCACTGCCGTAGCCGGGGTACCCGCCCCGTTCTGAGATATCCCTCTTAGGGCCCGGGGCGTCGGGGTCTAACGTCGATAGCTCCGGTCCTACCATCTATGACTGCTCGACTTCCGCGTCATTGTTTGCTGTTTTGGGCGGACGCTATTGTTTTACAGTGAGGCCCGAACGGTCTATCCGGCCCAGCGCCGTCTGCGGACTCGACTCTCCCTCTGTAAAACGGCCATCCCGGTATATAGACGTGTTATAGCCGGGAATGGCCGGGGCTCATGTCGGCAGTTTGCGCTGGGGGCCTGCCGTGGGGGTTCTGAGTTGACCCCTCCCCCTCCCCCCGTCCTCCCGTGGTTGCAGCAAGACGACGGTGCTCAAAGACGGCAACAGCCTGCCGCCGGCCGACGTCCTGCTGCGCTTCCTGGTCGAGTTCTCCACGGAGGCCCGCACTCCGTGCGCTAACTGCGAGACGACCGAGAACATCAGCATGTTCTTCTGCAACACGTGCGGTAGGTGACCGTGGTGCCTCTGACACGGAAGGGAGGGTGGTGAGTTGGGTGTTTGTGGTTACTCCTCTCGGTGTTCATATGGCGTGCACTAGTTAGGCTTTACGATCTCTCCTCACGTGAGAGAAGAAACACTGGGCGTTAGGGTACATGTCTCCGCCCGGAGAAATTATTGTGAACCGCGGTGGTAAGTTCTTTCACTCTGCATTAGCTAGTGCCACGTATACTGTCCCATCGTGTACGGCCATGCGACGGGGCATTGCTCGTATGGCGTGTGTTGCATGTTGTGAGCAGGCAGGTTTATTAGCCGGTCGATACGGGTAGATGCTGGGATTATGGTCCGTACCGGCTTACAGCTGTTTGCGTAAATATTTAACAGTATAAATGGATTTTAACGATGTCCAAAGTATCAACCTAATGGTCCTGCGTTCTGTGCTCATTACTGTCATTTTAAGTTTCATTTACTGATGTCAATATGTGATAGGATGCTCGGAACAACGTTCCGTGAATTTTATTATTACGTTTCGTGGTTTAGTGCTAACTGTTGGGCTGAACGCAGCGGAAAAGTATTCTTTGTTTACAATACTTTAAACATGTTTCAAAGCTATTACTATTCGAGTGATGTCTTCGCTAAACAGAAGAATGTACAAATGCTTCGGTTATTGATCAGCACCACTATTATTATCCCAAGTTTCTTATCTCCGGTCAGCTCTAGCTCCTAGGATTAGGTATTCCATTGAGAAGCGCCGGAACCTGTCGGCCGATTGTCGCTCTCTGCCGCCATGCGCAGTCGATGCTCAGTGGTGCGGCGGTGACTGACCGTCTGTACAGTGCGCAGTCAATGTCCGGCCGTGCCCGGCCGAGCGGTGACTCGCTGCTACCGACAGCTGCGAGCGGGCCGCAGTGAGGCGAATCAGCGGCACCCATTACCGGACCGGTCAGAAATAGAGCCGGACGACGGCGGCGTCCATACACTCCTTTCGTCGCAGTTCTCGTCGCCCACTGGTCCGCACCGCTGCACTGCAGGCCGAGGGACCGACTGCGTATACCGGAGCATTGCCACACAGCGACTCACCGCTTCTCACCAGGTCACCTCAATGCTCATCAGCTTACCTCACCAACTCGTCGTCTCACACTAGCTCAATGCCGTGTCCCGGGTTGAATCTGCAAAGGTGCGGACCAGCGGTGTTGAGACGAGGGCCGGGAGCTGCTCATGTCGGCAGTTTGCACCGGATGCCTGCCGCGGAGGTCCTGACGCCTCCTTCCCCCCCCCCCCCTCGCCCGCTGCTTACAGCAAGACGACTGTACTCTGGTGGGAGTCTGCATGAATATCCTACCATTAGCTCCATCTCTCAATCTGTCCGCTCCACCTCACCCCTTTCGCCTTAGCCACTACTCAGTGCCCTGCCCCATCCCTCACCCTCCCATCCCTTACAAACCAATGCGTCCACGCCCTCACCCCTCCCCTCCCCCACCAACCAATGCCACGCCCTCACCCCTTGCCCTCGCCCCCGTCCCCACTCGTAATGTTCGATCGCGCCCGCGACCACGCGTTGTCGGCTCCATATCACGGACTGGCCCGCCCCCGGGGCTCTAACCCGCCGGAAACCAAGCAATCCGGTGACTGGGAGCTAGTCATTCACTTAGGTTGATAATAGTTGCTCCTAGTGGCTTGCAACTAACTTACTACATAGCTGATAAGAACGGTAGTGATGGCTAGAAACCAGCCCATGTCATGTTTGGGTCCCATTTTATCCGTTGTGGGAGTCCGTCTTATCAGAGACAGGGAATGTCAGCTCCTTGTGCTGCCGAGCTGCCGACTTCCGTAGACCGGAAGCGCCATGTTTCCGTTGCCAGGAGTGTAACTCGCTCGGTCCTCGTTAGTAGTGTCATAGCCGCGACGATCGGTAGATTTATCAGACCTCTCCAGCTTTTCATGAGGTCACTTCTTTCACCAAGCGCACCCAGATATTTGTTCTCGAAAACATGTTCGCTGATCGCGCAGAGCAGGCCATTTCTAGGTTGCTAGTGCAGCCTATGTTGGATTTCAGATGCCTTGAGGAAGGCTTCTGTCGCTCGGACTGATGATTGCTTTATTTTATTTTATGAGTTGTGATGCGCAGCGGGTAAGCAGGTAACCTTGTACTATCCATATGACCAATGAACGGTGTTCCGTGAGTATGGCTCGGACGGCTCGGGCCGCCGCCAGACTGTCTGACCCCGCTCTGTCCACCGTTCCAGGTCAGGCGCTGTGTGAGCGATGTAAGAACGAGACGCACCGCGCCAAGATGTTCTCCATGCACGAGGTGATGTCGCTCTCTGAGCGACTCCGGAAGGCGTGCAAACAGGTCAGTGGCACGTGCCGTGATGCCAGGACGGAGGGGCGGGGACTGAGGGGGAGGGATGGACGCTGGGTGCCGAAGTCCCCCCTTCCCCCTGGGTGGTGGTTATTTGAATGGTACACCGTCATATATATAGTTCTGAGTTTGGTTACTTTTGCGTGGTTCACTCGCATAAGAAAACTGGAGAGGGAATTACGATGAAACTAACTAGCCTGGGGCCGTATTCACGTCGACTTCGTAAGTCGATTTTCTTTCGTAAGTATAATTTGGTATTCACGTCGACACTTCTTAAGTTTTTATCGACGGAGTTCACGTGAATAAAAAAATTTACTTAAGAAGTAGGTCAAACTTAAGAGAATTCTTACGAAAATGATCGACGTGAATACGGCCCCTGGTCTTTCGGTGTCTTTCGGCCCCTGGTCTTTCGGTGTTGTTGATACTGCATATTGTAATAAAAAATGCATTACATGGCAGTTTTGGAATTGTTTACATGACATGATTACATTACGCTGCAATACATTACATTATTACATGGCTGGTTACATGAATGAGTTAATGAATGGTTGTAGGCATGAATGAATGGATTATTTGATAAATGAACGCCTGTCTGTCGGCGCCGCCTCTAGTGTCCTGTGCACAACGAGCCGCACATCATGTTCAGCACGGACAAGAAGGAGCTGCTGTGTATCAACTGTTTCCGCGAGTACAGCGCCGAGTCGAAGCTGCACTGCGTCGACCTGGACACGGCCTACACGGACGGTGTGCGTCGACTGGAACGGACTGTCGTGGTGAGTGAGGGACGGGGGGTCGGTGACGGGGCGTGTGTCGAGTGGTGTGGGGCTGGGCGAACTCTTTGGAGGGATGACTGGGTTGGAACTTGGTGTAAATGGACATTGGTTCTGGTTGTCTGCAGGCCACTGTTTGATGTACAGTGTTGTGTCGTGCCGTAGATGATCAATGTGATGAACGCCAACAGTACAGCACATGTCCGGCCGCATTTGCGCACAGAGGCGACACGTCGCACCACTCTTTTAACAGTTTTTTTTTCTTCAACCGTGTTCTTTGTTCAGAGGATGATTTCGTTGGATGACTAAACTAACATTTTTCATGAATAATTACCTCTTATGATCTTTATGTCTCACCCGTTCTACTATTAAAAATTGGGGTTAGTGCCGGATTACGAGAACTGAAAACGATTTGCACAGCTGAAGATTTCCATTAGTCCTGACGAATTGTTTCAGTTTCACTTGAATTCGTTTGTATTCCAAAAGTGATGATATATCGGTCGGAACTGTTAGGATTCGTAGCATCCTATTCCTCGATGCATTTTAGGCCGTTACTCGGGGTGACGACTTGCCCTTCCAGGCACGGAGGCACCATCTTCCCTTGCTAGAATGGATGAGAGCAGCTTATGATTCACTGGATTTTTACGCATCAAAGCGATGACATTGTCCATCGTTACGTATATCTGTTTGCGTTGATACACCATCCGCTTCCAGGGTCCTGCCTCTCGTTGTCCCGACATTTCCCACATCCGAGCCGAGATCGATGCCTTTGATCTGGGCACATGAGCTTTAAATGGCCGATCTATGCTACCGATAATCCAGCCGGCCGTCAACCCAGTATGGTTTTGTTGCAGCGGTAATAACACCGCTGTCTCCGTATCCATATCCAGCTGATGTGTGTCTCCGTACACGTGTATCTCCGTATCTCCGCGTGCTCCGACCATAACCGCTGGGTGCACGTCGCCCGTCACGGTGCACAGAGTATCCGCGAGCTGCAGAACTCTGTCCGTGACGGGATCATTCTGTACCGGGCGCTGCTGGACGAGGTGCGACACAACATGGAGGCAGAGAAGACGGCCGTCACCACCTTCTGTCGTCAGCTGCACGAGACCGTCAGTCAGCTGCAGAGCCGCCTCCTCAGCGACGTCGAGGGGTACGCTGCGGCACGGGTGTACGACACGGCACGGCACGGGTGTACGCCATGTCACGGGGGAGCGGGCGCATGGGGTACCGGCAGGCTCTTGACTGGACAGGCGATATTCTGGGAGAAATGGACAGCGACCCGTCTGGAGATGCACATCACGCACGGATGTGTTCGGTGTTTAGTGGCGAGGTGCACGGTTATGTTGCAGTCTGATGCTACGTTACCGTCCGTGCTCAGGTGCACTGATGTTCATCGTCCATTGCACGCGTCAATCAGTGAGCATTGCCTCCTCTTGCACTGCAAGGTGGTCTTATGTTGTTTTTTATCCGTACGTTTGCGCGACATTTTAATATTCTATACATGTTCTATATACATGTTCTGCATTAGAACCCTCCTCGTTGCATGAATTTCTGCCCAGGTCAAGCCATATGGTTCGTCTCTCTTGCTGATGTTCTTGCTCATATCTTTCCACGCCACAATTTGTACATCCTCTTCGATATTGAGTTACATGTTTAAGAAACCGTAGTATTTGTTCTTTTTACCCATGACTTTGTCGTTTATGTTTTATTACTTCGGTTTGGCGGCGCGGTTCTATTGCACTCATATTTTCGTTAACTATATCTTTGAAAAGACATGACAACAGTGCTAAAAGTGCTTGTTATTTATGTGGCGTACACTTTAAGCACCTTATTTTACCGTGTTTATGTCTTGGTTTATGTCATGATTTTGGCGAGGCATGGCTGTTCGGATTTTCTCTTTGTCATGTTCCGTTGTGTTCGAGCACGGTTGTTTTTCATCTCGGCGTCGTAATTCATGATTGTCGAGGCGTCGACTTTACGAGGTGATGCATGCCGCCATAAATGTCACTTCACGCGATCAATGGTCCTGGCTAAGCTATGAGCTGAACTGTGAGCTATGAGCCAAGTTCTGAGCTGTGAGCTGAGCTAACTTGAGCTGTGAAGCAGTTGCTGGGGTCGCTCACCAAACGTCGTGTCCAATTATGTGGACAGTAGTATCTAAACCTTTCTAATCGGATGTTCGCATTACGCATGTTACCTTTATCGATGTTTGAGGGCCGTCCTTCAAGATGTGAATGTACTTTTCATGTCTGTGATTTCCGTCTGGTTTCATCAATTAGCCTTTATTTGTTTTTTAGCCTTTTGGGCCAATTATGGAATGAGAGCCCTTCGTTTTTAGCATCTCCATTCTCCATTTAGTCTTTGTTTCTATGCGTTTGATGATTTCACGTTTTTGCTTTCTTGCTCTTATTTTATGCTATGCATTTTCAGGAAAAAGTTATCGTGACTCCTAAAACGCGAAACGGTTCCCTTGCCGTGCATCGGATGCTTGCCATGCGACAAATTTCCTTACGTGCTAGGTCTTTTCCACATGTGGCATTATGTTTGAAAGAGTGAAATGTTTTCATTATGTAACCAACCACCAAGACATTGTTTCTTGGACTTCAATATTGTTGTTTTCCTCACGCTTTATTTCCATTCTCGAATGCCTGCGGCTTGCATGGCTCATTTTCATGCTGTCGCTAAAGATTAATTGTGGTTTAATGCTGTGCAACAGGTGTTAAATTTTATTAGTATTCGTCCTTGTGGAGCCACCTAGCAAGGCCGACTGATGCAAATGCAAGTGCTGCACGTGCCGTTCTTTCGTGTTAGCATGTAACGATCGTGGTGCGGTATTTGAGTCGCGCCTCTCTTGGTGCGTGCTCGTGCACTGGCGTTTTTGCTCTAGCAGGTCACTCTCCACCATTATTTTTAGGGGAATCTTCACAAATAAATTTACGTCTGGTTGTCATACTGTAACGAATCGTTATTCTAATATCGTTTCAACTCTCTCCCAGAGTGATGATTTTCCGATAATGATGACGGTGTTTTTCCATGGTTACAGAGATCACGCCCATTCTTTGCTGGTCCTCCGATGCAATGCCTGTAACCCCGCGGTGGTCTACTCCGGCCCTCCGTACCTCTGACCGCCCCGGTCCGCACCCTCAGGCAGTACACGCAGAAGACGTGCACCTTTCAGCAGCAGCTGTGTGACCTCTGCTCGCTGCTGCCCGTGCTGCACGTCCACCTGAGCATGTGCACCACGTTCACCCACTCGGCCAACAAGACCGAGTTCCTGGACCTCAGCTACTCGCTGATGGGGCGGCTCTCGAACATCGCGCACATCGGGGTGCCGCTGAGGTCAGTATTTACTGCCCCCCCCCCCTCCCTTCCACTCCAACCGGGCAGGGGGCACTGCGTCCTGAAACGGCGTCAATAGGCGCTACTGCACTGAGGGAACAAAGCAGACATAACCCGGTTAATGGAGGGCTTACAGTGAGTGTTTAGGTATCGCTTATATTGTTTATTTCTGACATATCCGTGCCGCGTAATAGGATTAGCTATGTTATCATTCTATTTGTTGTTAATGGATTATATCGACCCGTCTCTTGTCCCCCACATCCCACAGTGACCCCACATGTATGTCGAAGGCCGCCACTTACCGCCGTTTTGTGTCACGGTCCTTTGCCCTCAGGCCGAGTCAGACCAGCCAAGTGAAGACCAACTACCGTCGTGAGGTGTGTCAGGCTCTGGACCCTCTGCTGTGCCCGCCGGCGGCTGCCACGCCGGAGCCGGGCGGCCGGCTGGTGCCGGTGGCGGCGCGGCGCGCGCACACGGCCAACCGGCTGCGGCTGCTGGACTCGAGCGGCCCGTTCGCCGACCACTGCCGTGCCATCGAGACCCGGCTCCAGGAGATCACCGGACGGTACCGGCAGCTGCGCGAGATGTCCCCCGACCGCGCCGAGGTCGCCTGCCAGGTGAGGAGACAGTGCCGAGGTCGCCTGCCAGGTGAGCGGGTGGAAGGGCTGGGGTCGCCTGTTATGTGAGGGGGCGGCAGTGCCGACTAGGTCGGCTGTGTTGGCGGGAACGTGGTGGTCTGTTGGGGGAGCAGCTGTCATTGGGTCCGGAAAGGTCTGTCACGTGATCTGCCGTCGGTCAGTGTGGAAGTCTTGTCTGGTGAGCTGTCACGGGGTTTTTTAGTTCTACGTAACCAGATGAGCTGTCAACGCCTAGGGTGGCCTGTCACTGGTGAGCTGTCAGCAATGGGTTTTAACAGGCTCGGCTTTACGCCATGAAATGTGATGATCGTTCTTATAATGGCGTGCGTTATCTGTAATGCTTATACCAGTAACCGTACTGGCTGGGCATAAGAGTAAAGTAATGCAGCGTATGAACTAACACCAAGATAATTACAATGGATGGTAACCGCAGCAAACGCTGACTATTTGTACGTTTCCCCTATGAGGTGGTAGACGGCGACATCGTCTCGCTGGCCTGCGAGGTGGAGGAGGCTCGCCTGCGTCTCCAGCACCGCTGGGACGAGGTCAGCACGCGGCTACAGATGGAGCGAGACGTGTTCTCTGCTCAGGTGAGGGATCGCTGCTAGGTGTCTGTAGCGCCTTACTATTGACACGCTGTCCTGTAGAGTATTAGATTATGAAATAGTTTATTGACACTGCAGAACATACCAAAGCACTGATATAAGGGTGGGTGCCACTCAGCACTAGTGGTCTTCGGTCGGGTCTGTCAGCTACCAATGTAAAGTCATTTGTCATAGTTGATTGCTGATAGGTTATCTCGCTGAGACCACGACATAAAGCTTGACGGCCTTTCAATAGGTTACTTAGTCAAAGTCTTGTCCGTTTGCTGGCCAGCTCTCGGCCGGGCCAGACATCTGAAATCACCACCTATCTATCTGATACTATCCTGCCTACAGTTCCCTAACCTTTTATGCCCTCTCTCCTGCTCTGCTATGTCCTGTCTTGCCTGCCCCTGTCATGGCGCTGTTCTGCTCTGCCGCCCCGCCCTGCACTGTCCTGTCCTGTCATGTACTGTACTGTGCTGACCTGCCCTTACCTGATTTGTCTAGTCCTGTCCTGTTCTTCCTTGCCTCGGCCGCCGTCTGTACTCCCCACTGACCTCCCTCTCCCGTCTCGGACAGGTGTCGGACCTTCAGCAGCTGCGCGCCGACCTCAACCGGTTCACGATCGCCATCAAACAGCAGACAGGTGACCGTCCCAACTCGTCCGACACGCTGACTAATTCTCACGGAGCCGCCGGCACTGCAGCTGCCGCCGCCGCGGCCTGCAAGAAACAGCGTGCTACCAGCAGGGAGAGGTGGGTACTCTGGGGAGGCAGGGGGTATGGAGGGAAAACCGCCGGTCGGCACCCGGAGGAGAAGGAAGCGCACTGGTGGATGTCGCCGTGTGTGGTCTCAAAGTATCGCTACTCGAAAGTATCGCTATCGCTCCCTGCTTTGAGAGGGTTGACCGCCTGGCCGGCCCATGAAACCGTGAAAACGGTACGGGCCGGCCAGGCGGCTAACTTTCAAAAGCTAAGGGCTCTCAAACCAGGGAGTGATAACGGTACTTTCTAGCTGTAGCAACACTTTCAAGAGAGGCTATAGTATACAACCAAGTTTCAGTAAGGCTCACTGTCAAAATAATGTTTTTATTTCCATGTTTTGTCGTATAGTTCTATGGTTAATATTTTTTTGGAGGATACTTTCGAATACTTGTTGGAAAGTCATGGTGAGTTTCAATAGCCCAAAGTGAACCTAATCATGCGCGCTTTTAAGGTTCTCCAAGCCATGACTCATTTCCGATGTCTTTATCGGGATAATAAACCGTTAATTAGTCTGCAATGCTCGGGGCCTGGTGGGCTCAGCTGACAGCTCCCCTCCCTGTTGCTCCCCATTAACGTTCCAGCCGCTATATCCCGCTTTACGCCGTGCTAAATATCGACCCTGCTCGGCCCAATGAGCTGCTATGCCGGTATTCACGAGTGACCTGTCGGAGGGGCGGTGCCGGCGCACCCCTGCCTGCCACCTGCCGCGGCCCGTTTACGGCCGGTGGGGTGGCGGGTGGTGGGTACTCTGTGCCGTCATACCCCGTCTGTCTACGGCCAGATACGGCCCCGAGCAGGTGGTCCCACTGTCTAACGCCGATATACAGTGGTCAGCTCTGCCCCTGCGGCTCCCTGTTGCAGCAGTGTCACGGAGAGATCTAAAACTGGCCGGTCATTGGTGACTAGATATTGGCAGCATCTTTGTAACATGAGTTTGGGCTTATCTTAGGCGTATGCAGGCCGACTGTCGTATAGAAATTTGTCATTTTTGTGTGTTAGACAGTGCTCCCTCCCCCCTCACACCCACCATACAGTATTCGTGAGGTTAGGAAGTCACGCTGTGTCTGAATGCCAGACGCCACGTCTGACTCTGTCTCGTCCTCCCTGTCCAGGCCCGAGGTGCCACCGCGGGTGGATTCGCTGCCCTGCCAGCCGCCGGCGTCCGGTCAGCGCTCCGGAGACGAGTCGGCAGCCTCGGCCGGCACCGGCGCCGGCCAGCCCGACCTGCACTGGCACCAGCAAGGTGGGCCGGGCGTCGGTGTGTGACCCTCGGGGGGCGCGGCCGGCGGCCGGGCTGCGTCCCGGCCGCCGCCCGCCGCCCCCGCCCCCGCCGCGGCCGCGCCCTGGACGCTCTCCCCGTGCTGTGCCTCCCGGCCCCGGGTGTGCGACTCTGACGAGCTCTGACAGGCGCCGGCGCCGCCCGGCCCGCACCACCCCGTGTACAGGACGCATGCGTGGCCGCTCGGTGGCCGCTCCGTGGTAGTGAGAGGCTGCTCGGTCCGATCGGGGAGCCGGCGACGGTTGTGACGGTGGTTTCAAAGTTCAGATTCCTTCACATCGAACGGCGGACAGCTCTTCAGAGATTGTTCGCTACTTTGATGTTCTGTTGTTGTTGTGTGCTGCTTTTGATGATTGCTTGCTGCTCGATAATAAAGTGCTTGCCTTACGTTGTGGAATGTTTGTAGCATGACAAACGAGGATAAACGTTAGAGCACGCTCTAATAGTAATTACGGCAGTGAATGAACTCAAACGATTTTTACCCTAACTCAAGAAACATCCATGTGACGTATCAGTAGAATTTTTCCTTGTGGCTGCATGCTAAACCTCTAACTAAAGAATACGCTATGATAAGGGTCTTCGTCTGATGATATTTGGTTGCTAACATTTATCAGCAATGATTATCAATCGCACAACATAATTTTAGACTAATGATGCAATAGTGAAGAATCTATCAGCAATGAAAAAGCATTCATTACTTTAATCGCGACATGGTCGCTCAATTATTCTCTGATGTGAAGTGCGTGCGGTGCACTCAGCCCTAGTGGGGTGCGATGTGGCCGGCGCTATGCGCCCCGTGCGGCTGCAGCAGCTCTAGGGCCGTGTCCCTCTGTCGACAGCGGGCGGAGACGGCGCCCGGCCGGCCGGCCGCGGCGCGGCGCCACCGGTCAGCGAGGCTCAGCGCGGCGTCATGTCCCAGCTGCGCGAGGTGGTGCGCCGCGGCCGGGAGCGCAGCGAGGAGTGCTGGCGCGAGCCGTCACCGCCACCGGCCAACTGGCGCGACCACTCGGAAGAGCGCTGGCGCAGCGACGACGAGCCGCCGCTCGACAGAGAGCGACGCATGACGCCCAAGCTGACGTGGTCGAGCCGCGGCGACGGCCCGCCGCTGGCCGCCAGCACGCACGAGCAGAGCGGCTGGCGCTCCAGTGCCAGCTGGCCGCGCCGCAAGGCGCCAGTGCTGACGCCCATCTCGCCGAGAGAGGTCAACACCGACTACAGCGCCGGCTCGATGACGTCGATCGACTCCCAGCCGTCCGAGGGCGCCTCTCACCCGTCCGGATTCACCAGTATCGACTCGGCGCTGGACCGAACCGTCGAGCGCGTCATCACCGGCATCGAGAAGTCGGCGGCGCGGGCCCGCGGCCGCGCGCCGCGCCGCTCGCTCGGAGACCAGGTCTGCAAGTTCGGCCGGTTCAGCGTGGCCAAGGTGTCGCGCGACTCGAGCGGCCACGACACGGCCATCAAGATCTCGGGTCGTGTGGGCGAGGTGCGCGGCGCCGCGGCAGGAGCGCCGGCCGGCGAGAGGCGCCTGCTGCGCCGCGGCCGGCCCAAGCCCCGCTCCCGGGACGAGCCCAACTCGTCGCCCACTGACGACGAGCGGCGCCACGCCTACTCGGACTCGGAGTCGAAGGCGGGCCGCCGGACGCGCCGCGGCCCGGCCGTGCGCCGCCAGAAATCGGCTGACAGCTGCGACGGCCGCGGCCGGGCGCTGCTGGCCGCCGAGGCGGCCGCCGTCCGGCGCACCGATAGCTTCGAGGGCCACGAGCAGACGGTGCAGACGATCGTGGCCGCCGTGCAGGAGTCGCGCACGGCGCGTCGCCGCAACAAGTGATGGTTTTGTGCCGAGTTCGTGCTGTCCGGGCCGCGTGCCGACCGGCCCGGCCCGCGGCCCGCGACAGTGGCGACACTCGGCGGCGCCCGGCGGAACGACGCCCCGCAGCGACCACCCACATAGCCAGTCTCTAGTACAATCGATCGCTGCACGTGCCGCCTCCTGGCCGCAGCCCCCGCCGCCAGAGCAGCGGCGCTGTCCACTTCTACAGGGTATCTGTTCTGCTACCTACCTGTGCCAACCGGAGTTTTGTGTCCTCTGTCCTGTCCTGTCCTGTCCTGTCACCTCACCCGGTTTGACGTGACATGGGCAGCTCATCGGAAGCTGCCAGGGCTGGGTGGCAATTCGCTTGTATGTTCGTTGTGCGGTGTTGAGTAGCTATGTACGGTTTGGCTGAGAGCCCATTATGTTTCACGGTGGATTGCGTAGTCTGTCCACATGATAGGATCGTCTTTGGGAAATTCGAGAGCTCACCAGTCTAGTTCAATCCTTGCTCGTTCTATCAATCATCAGTCCTTTTTGCTAGCTTTAGAGCTGAGGTACCCGCCTCTGTTTTGATTTACCTTCTTGCATGGTGACACAGTAACATCGATTAGGCCTTATCAATTGATGTGAAGACGGCGCCGGACTTACCCCTACCACCCACCTCCTTTGTCGGTTAGTGTAAATATTTTGCTGAGTTGTCCTTTCAGTGAGCTGATGATGTATCTCGCATTCCTTTCTGAGTGTACTTTGTAGAACGTACGGTTTTGTCGTCTCAGTTTTGCCGTATAAGTCTGTTAATTATTGTGAGACGGCGTCAATGCCCTTCCCAGCTTGGCGAAAATATGCGTGTGTGCTTATCTAATCCTTTGAAGACGAGGACTCCTTTTGCGTCGACGCCGTGCATTAATTGACAATCGAGGACATCGACCCAAGCCGTTCCTTTGTACGCTCCGATAACTTGTCGACTGGGCTTGATAAGTAGGTAGTCGAACCTCCCAATCTCACAGACCAAACGCAATCCACTGCTGAGATGCCGGTAACGACGGCAGTGCCCCAACCAGCGGTGGTTTGTATCCCGTGGGCCACTGGTGGTCACATCAGGCCAGTTGGGGCCGCGTGTTTGACCTTTCCTCTTCCCTCCGTCGGCTTCCCCTTATCTTGAGCTTTAACCCTCGCCGGATTTAACGGTTTTCTTCATACGAGTAGATCCCAGCCAGGGAACGTTACTATCTCCTCGCCAGTTTGCCGTGGTGACTGGGACGAGAGGTGGCATTATCCTCGGCCAGGGAGTAACCGTAGCTAGTGTCGTAGCTGCGTAGGGTCAGAGTGGATGGTTAGTGAGGCTTCGTTAGATCGTTAGTGATGGCGAAGTAGGTGCCGGAGGTAGTTACGGTTTCACTTGAAGCTGTTTCCTATCTAGGGAATCGTTATGGAGAACGTAACAGGGTTTAACTTCATTTACTTTCCTATATTTTCTTGCTAAGAATTGCATCGTTAGGACATTCCTATCCCAATCATGTTCATTGATATGTAACAGTTGTGCCGTCTTCAGGAACATTGAGCCGTTATCCCGTTTCGGTGCATCGCTTACATAGGTGTACGGTGGAAATTAAAATTGTTGATCATTCGCGTTCACTGTTGCATGTTCCAGCTACCGTGTAAATAAAACGCGACTTCGGAGATATTCCCGTGAGTTCATCGTTGTTTACGTCGGGACATTCCTTTTGATGAGTGCGTGCCAATGATTGGCTACCATCTTTGGTTCGGGGTGAGCTGTGACCCGACTTATCGGCCGATTGGTCGTGTGGGTCTGCACGGGATCGGCTGATGGGAGACGGGACCGACAGGTCTCATGGAGTGGCTGATGGGATGGGACAGGAGAACACGACGAGATGCGGTGAGAGGACAGGCCGGTAGGGCGAACGGTGGGATGGTCTGCACTGTCTCTGACGAGGCGACTGATGTGTGAGTTTTCCCTGGTCATTGATACGTCAAATTTGTTTCAAATAGGAATCGAAAACAAGGAGTTTGTTATGATTGAGCCTCATTGGGTAGCCGCCGCGTGCAGTGACTGTGCCGATCTGGCGCTCCCGAGGCCCGTGTGCAGGCGATGGCTGACGTCACGACCAAGGCACGAGTAAACAGCGGCCAGTCCAGGCACGTCAGACCCCTGGCAGTGCCGCGTGCAGTGCAGCCGGAGACGTCAGACCCCCTGGCATTGCCGCGTGCAGTGTCGTCAGAGCATTCACCACATTAGCAGTGTTGTGTGCAGTATAGCTGACCGTCACCAGTCTTCTGCCGGCTCTGTCCGGTCGTGAGCGCCAGTGTGAGACCCGGCTGTCTCGCTCCCTGACCCTCAGCTGATTGGCCCGTCTCCCCAGCCCTAGCCATGCGTCTGGTGGTGCTGGCGCTCCTACTGTGTGTAGGAGCGCCCCTCTCGGCGGCCTTTGTGTTCCCCAGTGGCGGGGTGCGCCGCGGTGTGGTGGTGATGCCGCTGAGAGCGTGTCGAGCCAACGATGGCACCGAGGGCCGCTGTGTGTCCATGGTGTCCGGCGTCTGCCCCCTGTACAGGACCACCACGGACCTGCTGCTGCGCAAACCCAGCATCTGCGCGCTCAGCTTCCGAGACGCCATCGTCTGCTGCCCGCTGGCGGCGCTCATCGGGACGACTGGAGGGGTCGCGCCGACCCCGCGCACCACCGCTCGGCCGCGTGTCTTCCCCGGTTTCACAATACGACCGACCACCGCCCGGCCGGTAGTAACGGCCCCACCCACGGCTCCTCCAGTGGTCACCTCCGCTCCTCCGGTACCCAGCCCTCGGCCGGTGGTCACTAACCCTCCCCTGGTGACCAGACCGACTCCTACACGAGTCACCTCACCAGTGCCGTCCGCCCCGCCTCCGGTGCCGTCTGCCACCCCCGAGACTCGACCGACGCCCCGCTCCGTGCCGCCGACCCGTGACCTGCTGAGTCCGATCGGTCTCCGCCCGCGGCCCACCCCGGCGGCGGCCACCTCTGCGCCCATCACCGGCCCACGGCGCGGCTTTCGGCAGCCCGGCTGCGGCACCACCAGCCCCATCCCGGCCTTCCACGCCAGCGGCGACTACTTCCAGCGGCCGCCGCCGTTCGCCCGCGCCGAGCGCGTCCACCTCGGCCTGCAGCCGTGGATGGCCATGGTGGGCGAGCGGAACTCTGAGAGAGCCGGGGCCGACCGCTGGATCTGCGCCGGAGCGCTGCTGACGCCTCTCATCGTGATCACCTCGGCGCAGTGCGTGCTGACGCCCGACGAGCCCAAGCGGCTGGTGGTCGGTCTCGGCGAGCACGACCTGGCGTCGCGCACGGACGGCGTGGCCGGCTCGCACCCAGTGGCGGCCGTGGAGCTGCACCCGCAGTGGTCGCAGCCCGAGCGGCGCCACTCGCTGGCCGTGCTGCTGCTCGGCCGACCGGCCGACGAGAGCCCGCTCATCCGGCCCGTCTGCCTGCCGCCGCCGGACCCACCGGCTGGCACCGCGCAGCTGCTGCCCGCTCCAGGTCAGTCCGAGGCCCGGGAGGTCAGGGTCATTTGACGAAAAGGTCATTAAATGTCATAGACCCAAACGCTTTGACTTCACTGGTTGGACGTCTGCCAAAGTCGGAATGTCATCGCATTAACCGTTCGTTGAGCAATCGACTGTTGCTGTTTCCTTGTATGCGCCATAGCTATGTTGCTCAACGAGTCATGGCAAAGCTTGTTGAAATGACAATTTGATATGACCCTGCTGCTCAATTTGACCCACCACCGCGCTGCTCTCCGTCCCAGGTTCCACAGTGGTGGAGGCCTCGTACAACCTGGACACCACTGGTCTGAGTGACGGCTCGGCGCGGCAGCGGCTGGTGACCGGCGAGGTGCCGGTGCAGCCGCTCGGTCGGTGCGTGGCCGCGCTGGCCGGCGCGCCGCTTGCCGAGCTGCTGTTCCCCGGCGGGCCGCAGCCGGAGCCGGACCTGTGCCTGGCCGCCGGCCACCAGTGCGCGCAGGACGTCGGCGCGCCGGCCGTGGCCGCGGGCGAGGACGGCACCATCCAGCTGGAAGGGCTGCAGCTGATGGGCAGCTGCGCCGCCGGCCAGCCGCGCCTGCTGCTGCGCGTGCGACACTACGTGCCCTTCATCGCCGACGCCATCGAGAAGCTGACAAAGCCGTCCAGCACAGGCTTCTAGTCCCGAGTTGGCGTTTGTTCTTGGAACCTACTCATACTTATGGCAAAGTTAAGCAATTAAACGTTCCAGCGCTGACAAACAGTAAAAAGTTATAAAGCTTCAGTGAGCCATATGCCTCCCGTTCCACATGGTACGTTTAAATACAAGTCGTTGTGTGCAGTGTGCTAAAACGGGCAATAAGTTCCGAGTTTATCCTTATCATCGCTGGCCAGCTAGGTTGAATGACCTTTTCTTTGCGTTCGTTCATCCTCCATCGCCATAAAGTTAAGTTCAGGGCAACGGAACCGTTATGCACGAGCGCCAATTCCTTCTCCGTAAAACCCGATTCCTGTCCTAGCCGACGTCTGCACAATCGTCACGCGGCCGGAGCGCGGTCAGGCTATGGAAGCTCGGCCTATACCCGGTGCACCGGTCCGACCAGAGACGGCGTCACGAGCCGCGCCTCTACATAGAGCCGGAATTTCACAACCGGGTCGGCGGGCGCACTAGCCACTCGCCGGGCGGGCGGGCCGTTTCGCAACCGTCACCTTCCCGTTCCGGCGGCCGTCAGTCGTGCGCGCGTCACTGTGTGGCGGCTGTCGCGGCTACCTCACAACGCAGAATGCCACGCACCACTCAGTACCATACCTATAGACCTCTTGGTATCCCTCCCCCTTTATGGTCACCCCTTTTCCCATCACCTCCACAAAACACGGTCATTCTATTAACAGTGGTATATTTCTGAGGTGGCGGTCGGTAGCCACCGGCCGCGCGGCCCCATATCACGGCGGCGCGACATTGTGCACGGCCACAGGTCAGAGGAATGTGGGACCGGCCAGAGCGCCGTGCCCCGAGCCGGTGCCGAGTCGCCAGGTCCCACAGCGTCCATCCCAACTGCGCTTCATTTTATTTGTGCATCGTTATAAAAAATACACACGAGCGGAAACGTCACAAATTACCTTCCCACCATATCGCAATAAAACCCATATATATCTCGGCCACCCGTTAACACGTGGTCCGGAGCGGCCGAATAAATACACAAGAGAACACACTTCAGTTTTGCAGGATGGAATGATTCCCACGCCGAACAGAGTGCATTACGTCATGCGGATGCTCTGGATGATCTGGAAGATGGCTGAAAAGAAAAAAAGAGCGTGCTTTTAAAAATGGTCGAATCCGACTGAACGAGCGCTAGCAAAAGGCTAGTAAGAAAGGTTTGATGTTCAGCGACGGATGTTGAGACCGCAGCACATAATACAATGCTAACAACTTCACACACTTCTGTAGAATGATCGTGAGTATGCCAATCCTCCGTCGCGCTACAGACGGTCTCTACCCGTGAACTTTGTTTCTTCAGCCATATATGTAATTGGTGAATAAGCGTTAGTTGTTTACCGGCCCTAGACTGGGCATCACTGGTAATAAAACATTTCAAGGAGCTTCCGAGGCCAACTATAAATTGAAACACGGTGATATCTAACGGTCTTTTTTTCTAACAAAAAGTAAATCCCTTTCACAAAGTGAACGCCGTGGAAAAATGACACTTTAGAAGGGCTTATGCACTGAACAATGATCCATGATCTGCAATTACAAAAAAAAAATAGCGCATTAAGTATAACAACAATGTTTATATGTGATCAAGTATTTTTACGAATCAATGCAAGGATGTCTGCAGCTCAGCTACCGATCAGCAAGCCGTTTGAATGACGCGGCAACGCATAGCGCGTCAAATGAACGCACGACCGTAAATGCCATGACGAACATGGTGTTCGACATAATAGACAGAAACCATTACCAAAAATAACAGATCATGAACAGGATTATCGGTCCTGAGCATGTCGACTGGATTCGTTTGCGGCTAAATCCTGGGGTAGCTGATGGAGCCAGCAAAAGCAAATACATTTATTATTACAGTTCTACCTTCAATTAATTTTGCTCTACTTTGGTGTGTTTACCCAAGTTCATTTACAAGTTAAACTGCAATATGACTCCTATTGTCATCCTGAGAAGCATGTTCAAAGTGACTTCAGCATCTCTTACCTGATCCACAAACAACAAAGATGAAGAGAGCCAAGAGCCAGGGTCCAACAGGGTATTTGTCTTCTGCAGGTTTCTGAAACAAATATTTCCAGGTCAGGAGCAGGACCAGTCACTTGGAAGTTGGACCAGCAGGACAATCAAATCAATGCAATCACAACAGAAGCCTCTACAAATAATGTGGTATAATTTGACAATCAGTAGACCATTGAACTCTTGAGCAGTAGCCTGTTTGAGATTCCCTAAAAGGGTTCTTCTCCTGACTGGTGAGAATCATTGAACTGGGCTGGACTACAATTTTAATATTTCTCTTTGTTAGGGTCAATTAAGCTAACAATCATTATTTTGCAGAACTGAGAACTTGGAACTAATGACACTTGTCTTTGAAACTGACAAGTGACAATTAGCCTGCCTCTGATTTCTTACCTACCAAATTATCAAGACTTCCTGTAATGTATGAGGAGTGGTCACTGGCTGGCATGGGGGAGAATTGTAAGAAACTGTGATTGCAGTGGAACTGGATTCACAGTGCAGAAAACACACAGTTCCTTACAATTATCCACCTATGATGACTGGCAGGGAGCATGAAGGGATATCTGTCTTAAATGAGAAGGCAATACTTTAGTCCTGACCTGGCCTTCTACAATAAGTACCTCAACAGGCACCTAGAAAGTGCAGTAATGATTAGAGCAATGGGCAGGTGACTTGGGGTCACTTTACGAGCTGTCTTGTTTTGGTCTAAAAACATGTCAACCTTTTTGACACTTCTGGTATTTGTTTATGAAAGGTCTAATCACAAATCATTGTGCCATGAATATGAATATGCAAAATTTATGCTTGAAAAGTAAATCAGACTTTTTAAGCATTTAACACACTTTCCAGGTCATCAGGGCACCATGCATAGACTGTACATAAGCAGCACAGCTCATGCAGGATCTCATAATTCAGATCTCACTAGGCCAGCACAAAAACTTAAATCCTTAGTGCTTCCATAGAACATATCAAATGATGTAGGCATGTAGCAGGTTAGGTACCTTTCAGTAATCCTGGTTATACTTTGTTATACTTTGTTCAAAAAGTTTAAAAAGTTAGGTCACTCATGACATGATTATGTTTGGCACTTACAGTGCTGAGGGATAGGTGCTTTAATCAAAGACAACCTTTAAGTTAAACTGAAACATTGCCAGTGAACGCTAGTCACAAAGGCGATGCGTGAATTGTGTGTCGCCTATCACTCCTGTTTGAAGAAACTTGTTCATGTTCCAAGATGGACGAGAAACCACAACCTGTGCATGGAGCTAAAGGTGCTCACATGTCCAATGCTGATAGCGAGCAGGCAACTTCTTTTCTGGAAGAGAGCTACATCTAGTCAAAATAGCATAATAAATGATCTGAATAGGGCCATAGGCGAGAAAGGGCTAGTTGCACGCAACCATAGGAAAATCCGTACTGACTATGAACTGCTGGAACTTGATATAAATGATGTCAGTCGAAAAGATGTTGGCAATATGTTTAGTGCCCATTTAGAAAGAGTGGTACAAGCCCGTCTCATGCAGGTCTGAATTCGCTGATGTCAAACTGCTAAGATGATCTATTCGTGTGCACAGTGCATGGGTGTGATGTGTGTAGAGTGTATATTGATGTGTATGTTGGTGATATTGTTATGTTAATTGATTTTGTCATGTATATGTACCGACTTGGTGCGAAATAAATGCTATTATTATTATTATTAATGCCACTCATGCTAATGCTGAAAACCTGAAATAAAGAACCCTGATTAACCCAAACAACAGTGGCGGATCCAGGGGGGGCAAAATGGGCATTTGCCCCTCCCAAACGGCATAATTTTAACATTACGCCTACAGACGAGGCATGGAAAGAATCGATAAATTGTTATGGTTTGCCCCCCTCCCCCCAAAAAAACTCTGAGTTGGATCTGCCTCTGCCAAACAATAAAATCAAATAAGCATATGGTATCACTCCAATGGCTTGTAGTAGGTGACAAAAATAGACAATAATTCACGGGATCAAGAATGAAATGGTGAATTTATCAGCACACATATGGAATTTAAATATAACTTACCAATGATTTTGGAACGTTGCCCCTCAACGTTATGTTCTTCCCCGCCTTCTCATTCTGTATCCTCATGCGCTGCTTTGCAACCATGATGGGTTGAGAATAAAACCTCGTAAATTACACAGAAACTGTGCACACACCAAACGCCTCCAACCGGCCCGCTTCAATTTGTTACAGAGCGCGCAGCGACAGCGGACAACAGCATAGAAGTGCGTAGCTCTACGATCTAAAGTAGATCCAACTTATTGTCTTTTTCCGAGCAAAAAGGTTTTGTTTGCTAAATTCAAAAACGAATTTTTCATGGGATATATTCTGAGATCCATATCAATCCTTTAAAAAGATTAAAAACCATTGAAATTGCCACTCAGGCATAGCATGTGTTCATCCGCCTACACGTCAACCCGTACGTCACGTTTTGTCGTGAGGCGTGCTAATAAAACTGTCCAAATTTGCTGCAAAATTTACTTAGTATGTTGTAAGAATCGAAATAGTTCACAGCATATCCCGCACGCACATGTATCATTTTTTTCTAGAATAAATCGTCATACAGACGCAAATTGATGTGAATTTTTTATTATTCTTCGAAATTTGTATGAAAGAGTCGGATGCATTTCCTTAGTCCGCTGATCTATTATACTTGTTCCATACCCGGTAGAATATTCCGCCGAGTATGATATCGCACGCAGATCCACGATCCAAATTTGGAGAAGTGGTCACTCAGATCTACGGCATACAAATGGCCTGGTCCAATGCACGGTTCGCCTTATAGCTGATTAGGGTCTCGTCAAAGTATCCGGTCGTGTAGCCCGCGGTTGAAAAAAGGCTTCTTCATTTACCGAGGCGAGAGTCCTGTCTTGCTAAATAGCTTTGTATCCATGGATGTCCCTCTAGCTACCAGTGTCACAGTGTGTACCAGTGTGACACTGGACCACGATTCATGGCGCAGTTATTCTAAAATAGCTCCTGAATAACTGCACGGAGTTTCTCCGCGAAGCATTTTAGCGCTTCAATATTTAGGCAATTTGTGTACAGGGTAAAATGAGTATAAGAAAACAAATGTTGCATTGAAGTCCTTAAACAGGCAGCATACAAAACGAAAGCCGGTAAACCCAAGGGTAAACCCAAATCACTTTAACTATAGCAAGAAAAGGAATTTTTTCAACGTATAGAACGGAGACGTATTTTTTAGCAGCCGCAAGTTGTTTCAGATATTTGTAGCAGCTGCGTTGTATTTGACGAAGTTTTTTGACGATAAGACTCTGTTCGGCATATCACCGGTAGCTGAACAGACATCATTTTTTGATGACGTCAAAAGCTAAATTTGATCAATGTGCCTAAAGATTGCACTTACGTGTAATTATATTTATCGATTAGAGCATTTGATATGAGTTTAACTGAAATATGGAAAGTTTTAAACGCAAAAAGGGCAATTTTTGTAAACATTCTAGTAGGAAATAATATGTTTATGTTTGCATTGACAAAATGCCGAACAGGTACACAACCAAAACGGAGACTGACCCCGCGTTCGATGTCTCCCGGACGGCGAAGATTCTACGCCGTCCGACCAATCACGTTCCAGAACCGCAGCCGAGCCTCCGCTGACCTTGGACGGGATTGGCCGGACGACGTAGAATCTTCGTCGTCCGAGAGACATCGAACGCGGGGTGAGCTTTTGGGAGCAAGCGTGGGAGCAAGCTTTTGTTATTTAGACGGTGATTCTGTGCCTTCTGAACTCAAGGCCATCTATAGAAGGTACAGTCACTCCCCCGCCGACCAATCAGAGACAGATCCTGAGTGACGTCACCCCTGATGCTCGAAAGGGGTACTCCATTCCTTTACAACGTAAAAATGACTAACTTCATTTGAAGATTGTTGGTGACACTCTACACATATCGCTCAACCATTGATGTCATTGGAAAGTCCAACTCATTTTCTAGCGATAAAAAAGAGCAGCAATATGCTAAGAAATGGCCGGTTTTGAAGATATAGACGATTTAAAAACCCTCTGCAGTTGCGGGAAAGCAACGTAAAAACGCATCGAGCTTATATTTTTACTATGAATAAATCATTTTTCAGTAAGTTTTTAGATATGGTATCGATTTATTCAGCAACTTTATTACAATATTTTTATTACTTGGAACTTTATTTCAAAATAATATTTTCAAAAATGGCAACTGTTGGCAAGTAGCTTTGAAGCGATTGTGGCGCGCCGCGCCATCATTGTCCTGAGGCCCCCATATGATGTCATCAAAAGTGGAGTGACATGGGCCTGTCTGAACTTATTATTGAATCTTGAATCAAATAGTCTTGAAAGTCTTGAAATAGTGAAATAGTCTTTTACACGTGTCACTGGAAGCTCCACAACAACACTAGTTCACACCTAGTGCCCTGGTTCACAACTGACACTGCTGCTGCTGAACTCCTGCTGGTCTCAGCTGAAACGTTTTTGGGCTGAAAGTAATAGTATGCCTATATAAATTGTTTGGCAGAAGTTTTTATTTGTAGCTTCTTATTAGATGTAAAGTTCTTAAACTTTGCTAGGTTATCAAGCTGTATGTGGCCATGTGTGTCTACATTTAACTTCAGACTAAATTCTGCCATAGACAGGCACGGCATTGTACAATTGTAGGTCAGAGGGCTGAGCCAATGCAACTAGTAGGTAGTATGTACTGTACTGCAAGTTCTGTTCTTTGTCCTTGTGAATTCTTTCATTTAAAAGATTTAGACTTCATTTGTATGTAAAAGCCTGGCAGTACCTCCCTATGCGCCATTTAATTGCCACAGAAAGAAGCTGAAATACCCAAAGTGAATGTTTTGTAATGCAGTCATGAATACGATTCATCCTAGCTGTTTTGAAATTGCAAGTTCACTGATGTAATGATGACATTGAGGTGAAATGTATCTTTGATAAAGTGTTGTGACTTTCTTTTCAGATACATCTTTTGTGGAAGAGTTGACAGTATTCATAGCATGTTCTTAACCAAGCTACCAGGCTTTGGTATCATTCGCTATGCGATTTCCACAAGCATAATGGTTGGTGCTGCTCCTGAATATTATGCTGTCTGGCTTGGGTGGAGACTTTTCTCCATTCCACTGCCTGCATGGCTGTACCAGAAGGTGGATGATATGCTATATTCCACCTATCAGAGACTGGTGCTTCTGTTCTTTGAACATGGCACTGGCTTAAAGGTAAGATGATTTAATTGAAGGCATTTCATATTTTAACTTGGTACACCATTCAAAAAAAAAAAATGACTGATTCAAACTCCCTATGAATAAGCATTACAATGTAGGCACATGATTGTTAATAAGCAGTTCAAGACTCAAGTTCTTTATATTCAGTAGGTAGCTAATTTTATATAATTAAGTTGTAAAGTATATAAGTAACCATATAAGGAACTATATAAGGCAATAAAGTAGCCATGTTCCATGTCTAGATATCAGACTCAACCCCATGCTCAAATCAGGTCTTGTAGTTGGCCCTATTAGCCATAAGCTCCCTTTTCCAATCTTAAATTAGAAACTGTTATATACTGTTCAGTGTTACCTACAATTTTATTGATTTACAATTTAATGATTTTTTTTTTTGCATTGTTGACACTGTGAAAAGACGACTTAATTTATTATTCCATGTCATTATTTCAGATCTACTTTTATGGAGATGCTGATGAAATATTCAAAAAGAAGGAGAATGTGCTGTACATCAGCAATCATCAAAGTACAGGTGTGTTTGTGTTTATGTAGGTGTTTATTTGTGTTGCTTTTGATGAACACATTCTATTTTGTTTGTGAACTGCATGCATGACTTAAAGTGCCTGGACTGGGTTTAGCCCAGTTGGCTATCAAATGGCAAAGTTAGGGCAGCCTGGCTGGCACTCCATTTTTCTTGAAGCTCTTGTCCAATAACTGGGCTATCAGTGTGGCATGTGTGGCAGCTGGCACTCCATATTCTTGATCAGCTTGCTCACTGCTCAGGTATGAGTGTATGGTGCTCATCATATTGCCATTAGATGAAATTGATGCTGCTCAGGCAATGACAGCTAGTAGTTTATCATAGGATGACAACTGCTTTTTGTCAATGATCAGTAACACATAGGTACACCCTTTTTAGTGTAAGCCTGGTGTCTGTTACTGCACTGTGTGTGTATGTGTGTGAGGCAGGGGTGCTGCACCGTCTCATGTCGTGAGTCACGGCCCGGGTCCACTGACGCTGACCAATGTCTCTGTTCCCCGGACCGTCCGGCGCCGCAGTCGACTGGGTGGCCTGCAACATGGTGGCGGTGCGGCAGGGCTCGCTCGGCCACCTGCGCTTCGTCATGAAGGACGGCCTCCAGTGGCTGCCGCTGTACGGCCACTACTTCTACCAGCACGGCTGCATCTACGTGCGGCGCGGACAGTTCAGACAGGACAAGATGATGCGCGGACTTGAGTATCTGCAGCAGGAGCGTGTACAGGTAAGCGGGACACATCCACGGGGGAAGGATGCTGACGGACTCTGATTGACCTACGACGGTAGACCACCGCCCGCCGAGTGCTGACTGACTGAACGATCGCCGGTCATAGCCCGGACGGCGAACTAACCGCCGACTAGGATGACGGACTGCGCCGGACCACCGACTGACCGTATGACCAACTGCTGGACATGCAAACGGCCGGTTGTTGTTGTTGTTGTTGTTCTCCCCGGGTCGGCTCACGGCCGACCGTAGCCCAGCGGCTCTTGGTGACTGAGGTAGCCGCGGCTCAAGGCCGCCACAGCCCCGCCGTCCCGAAGCTGCGTAGGGTCCGGTCTGATATTGCCGAGTAGGCGGAGCCTCGCGCCAGCCAAGCACGGGCACCTCAGCAGCACGTGCTCCGGCGTGTCCGGGCCCTCGCGACACACCAGGCAGCGCGCCGCCGGGCAGGCCAGGTCACTGCACTGAGGGCAGTCGCGCTCGGGGCGGCGTCCGATTCTGTGCAGGTAGCTCTGCGAGCGGCTCCAGTGTCCCGCCCGCAGCTGGTGGACGTTGACCGCCTCGTCGCGAGACTCCAGGAGCACCGGCATCGGCATCCGGTCTCCCATGATAGTTTTGAAGAAGCTGTCTGGCCAGCTGCGACGCCATGCCTTGGTGGCGGAGCGGCCGACTGCCTTCACCATCGAGCGGACGTCCGTTGGGACGGCGTCTTGCGACAGGCTGGATGCCTCTTTAGCCAGCACGTCCGCTCTCTCGTTGCCGGGTATTCCGCAGTGCGCTGGGATCCACTGCATGAAGACTCGGCGTCCTCCGTCCGTGAGCGCCAGGAGCAGTCGCCATACGGCGGCGCCGAGTGCTGTCGTCTGGCTCCCAGCCCCACTCGCCAGTGTGGCGAGCGCCGCCTGCGAGTCGGCGCAGACGATGACCGGGCTCTCCGCCAGGCCGCCCTCCAGCTGCAGCAGCATCTCCAGTGCCCCGCGGATCGCCACCAGTTCGGCGCGGGTGCTGCTGCATATCTTGCCTGCAGGGGCTCGGAGCTCGTGTTCCTCGCCTGAGGGGAGGATTATCAGCGCTCCACTCCCTCCGGCTGAGACACCTCCCTCCGCCGAGCCGTCGCTCCACACCCATACGGCGTCGTCTGGGAGGGTGGCCAGATGCTCCTCCGCTCTCTCCCGCCGGACGTCGGGTGGTGCTGTGCGGCTGATGTGGTTGCCGATGTCAAGTCTGATCTGGACCCTGGTGTCATCGATCCACGGCGGGATGGTGACGTGCAGGCGCTCCTCCACAGGTACGTCTCGCACGCCCGCGCTCACCAGGGCGCGCGCCCCCGTGTCGCGCCAGCCGGTGGTGGTGCGGAGCCGCCGTGGGGCCGTTGCTTCGGCCACCGCACGCAGTGGGTCGCCGCTTCTTTGTGAGGCTGCCAGACAGCTCAGTCTGGCAGCGAGCAGGTCCCGGCGTGCTCTCACGGGAACCAAACCGGCTTCCGCGAGGAGCGGATCCCTCGGCGTGCTCACGGGGCACCCGGTGATAACGCGGGCTGCCGCGCGCATCTCCATCTCCAGTAGCTCTACGTGGGACTCGGACGCTGCAGGGAGCCATGCAGCCGCCGCGTATTCCAGGGCACCGCGGATGTAGCCGTTGGCCACTACTCGCAGCTGCGGCTCCCGCAGACCCCAGGAACGCCCGGTCATCTTACGGAGCTGTGCGATCCTCGGCTTGGTCTTCTTCCGGACGCGCGCGCAGTGCTCGCCCATGTGAAGTTGGCGGTCCAGGGTTACACCGAGAAGGTGAAGGTGTCTCCCAGCGTCCACTCGTGCCCCGTCTACGTGGATGTACAGGTCCCGGGCGTCGACGTAGTGCTGCGACAGGGCTAAAACTTGCGTTTTGCTTCCTGCCAGCCGCATCTTCCAGTCGCGGGCCCATTTCGCTATGGCATCCGCCGCTTGTTGAGCCCGGTCCCTGGCTTCCGCTATCGTACCGCCGGAACACAGTGTTGCAGTGTCATCGGCGTACAGGAAGACAGAGGTGCCCGGGATCCGCTTCAGCGCCGCCACGAGGTCCGCCGACCACAGCGTGAACAGGGTCGGTGCGAGGACGGACCCCTGCGGCAGGCCAGCTCGGAATGGGCGGTTCCGGCTCCGTGACCCATTGACCTCCGCGCAAGCGCGTCGGTCTCGGAGGAAGTGGTGAATCCACGTGACAAGGCACCGTGGAAGGTGATGGGACATCTTCAGTCGCAGCATTTGATGGTCGATTACATCGTAGGCGCGGGAGAAGTCGTAGGCCGTCAACACGAACCTGGCGGCGGTCTTGCCGTCAGACGGGCGTCCCTTCGGTGGCGGCCGGTTCCACCCGTCCTGGACTTCTTGTATGAGTCGTCCCAGGTTCTCCTCTGCAGAGCGGCCACGGCGAAAACCGACCTGCTCTGCGGGGATAATGTTGTCTCGCTCCAGTAGGTGCGTGAGCCTAGCTGCCACCATCCGCTCCATCAGCTTGGCGACGTGACTGGTGAGCGATATCGGACGGTAGCTAGTGACCTCTTGAGGGTCCTTCCCGGCCTTAGGGATCGGTATGATGATTGCTCTCCTCCATACCGAGGGGACTTCAGCGGAGATCCACGACTTGTTGATGACGTGCAGTAGCGCGGCCTGGGCCACCGGCCCGAGGTGCTTGAGGTGTTCCGCACATACATCGTCGGCGCCGGGAGCCTTCTTCATTTTCAGCTTGTCCAGCTGGGTCCTCATCTCTTGTCTGGAGAAGGGCTGGCAGGCACCATCGCGCTGTCCAGCACATGAACAGGGGCGCGTCTTCACCACCCTCAGATCAGCCTTCACTGATCGATCACGCCTCCTGTGACGGGTGTGGCTGCTGACGTTTGCGTAGGTGCGGACAAACGCCTCGGCCTTGGCCCGGTCCTCCGCGACGAGTTGGCCGCGGTCCCCGTTGATGGCCTGGCCGGGGCAGGTGTCCGTCACCGCACCCTCCATCTTGCGCAGGATCTTTGTGACGCGGCCCAAGGCCGCGCGGCGGTTCAATTCGGTAGACGCGAAGTCCTGGAACGCGCGGCGCCTGGCGTCAGCCTCGACATCTGCAGCGTGCCTCTTCTTCTCTTTCCAGCGCGTCTGGTTTTCCGGGGACGGGTCCTCTTGGACGGCTGCTCTTGCCGCTCTCCGTTCCTCCACCGCACGCACCAGCTCCGGGTCGAGCGCCCACGGCTTGGGGTCCGCACGGGCGCCCCGGGGAACGCACCGCGCGCTCGCCTCGATGATAGCATCGTTGAAACGCGCGGCGAGTCTCTCCACCGAGGTCTCTCCCAGCGTCAGGTCGGCCATCGTCTCCTCGCAACGGGCCGTGAAAGCCGTCCAGTCGGCTTTATGGAAGGCCCAGCGCGTCTTCCTGATGCGACGAGGCCGGTGTCCCGAGGTGGTGACTGCGACCATCTGCGGGAGGTGGTCGCTCCCCAGATCGGTGCCGACCTCCCACGTGCAGCGCCGGGCCAGGTCACTGTGCGCCAAAGTGACGTCAGGAGCTGAGAGGCGGGCGTCCTCCCCGTAGCCGGCCCGTGTGGGGGTCCCGGAGTTGAGCACCTGCCAGTCGTGGCGGACCGTCCACTCGTAGATGGAGTCACCGACCCTGTCCGGGTTTAAACAAGAAACATCCCAGACAGGGTGGTGGCTGTTGAGATCTCCCGTGATGATAGTGGCATCATTGCTCGGGAAAGCGTCCAGGCTGAAGAAGTCGACCCGCTCGTCCTGGGCGGATGTTCGGATGGGCGGGCGGTACACATTGAAGATGTCGAGGTGTCTGGAGTGTTGTCTTGCTGTGCTCAGGATGACACGGATGGCACAGCACTCGGTGGTGTCGTCTAGAGGCTGAAGGGGGGAGCTCCTGATGGTGGTGAAGTTCAGACCGTTCCTGACCAGGATTGCAACGTCCCCGCCGCGGACCGGTCCACCGTCCCTCCTGCCTCGGGCCCTTCTTGAGACTGCGGCCGTCTGGTACCCCGGGACCGTGAGGGCCTTGCCAGCCAACTGAGCCTCCTGGATCGCCGCCACGTCCACCTTCATGTCCGACAGCCAGCGGCTGAGCTCCCCGATCTTCCCGAGGACACCCTCCGCGTTCCAGCTGGTCACCAGCAGTCGGCTTCGGACTTGGCAGTTGTGATGGTACCTCCGATTCTTGGCTCTCCGGCTGTGGCCTCCCCTGGGCACCCATGGGCCGCAGTCCCTCCTGCCCCCGCCGTCGGGCCTCACGGCGGGGGGCGCGTCGCTCACTTAGCTACGCGGGCCCGGGCTGCCGTCGTACGGCGCCCAGGCCCGCGGAGCTCCGGCGGTGGAGATGGAGAGACGTGTCGGTATGCAGCCTCGGGGCGGCGGGGCCGCAGGGCGTCGACCCCACGGCGTCCGCACTGTCGGGAGCATCTGGGTTCCATTTGGTGTAGCGCGCGTGGTCTTCGCACCGCGCGCGCCCGGGCCCTCGGATCGCCACCGTAGCAGCAGTCGTCGGACCCCCGCCGTCCACCGCGGGGAGGCGGAACCCGTTGGACGGCAGGTGGGTTCGCTGCCGGGCGGTCCGTCCGTCCGCCGCTGACCGCCGGTCCCCCTCCCGTTATGTCGTCAGTCGTGGGTGGCTGTGTTCCCCGAGGGCACCCGCTACGACCCATCCAAGCCGGAGGTGATCCGTCGCTCCGAGCAGACTGCGCTCAGCAGCGGGTTCCAGCCGCTCAAACACCACCTCACGCCCAAAACCAAAGGTAAGGTGCACATGGTGTGTCAAAAGTGGAAATAGCCGGTGCGCCGTCTGGCAACCCGGCAGCCCGCCGCCATAGGGAAATTCATGCTTTTTGTCGCTTTTTCGCTCCTTATGAGTCACTTGATCTAATTAGAGATTAACTAGGAACGAGGCGGGTCACTTGGACGTATTCGGGAGCCGAATACTGTGTTTTGGAGCCAATACCTGGGAAACCCTACCCGCCCAATGCGAGTTTTTAAGAGGCTGCATGCCCAAATTAGCGTTGAGCGCGGCCGTTTTCGGTCGGTTTTCCGCGACCTTGTGGCGAAATCGCCTTATTTATTCAACCAGGGTGGGCTAATTCGCTTAACTAGGAATGAGGCGTTGAAGAGAATTATTCAAGGAATAGAGCTGTGCAAAAATATTTTTTATATTGTTAAAACTGTATCCGCCCTCGAACGATAAATATTGTTGACCCATCAGGAACACATCCCCTGGAATGCGTTTGGACTTGGCTGGATCTAATATTAGCGAGTATCTGCTAATGCAGTTTCTTGGCTTACACAGTACGCACACAAGCATACATACTTCCTGCCCTTGGTTATCCCTCACTTGAATGAAAATTTTGCTATAATAACTATTCCAAGCAGTTAACAGGTTTTAGTGCAGTGCCAAGTCGGAACCGTTCAGCGCCGCCAGTCTCCCAGGCGGCGCGTAACGGCCGCCGCCGGCCGCCGCGCCGCCGCTCTGGCAGGGTGTTTGACTTCATATCTCTGTTGCTAGAAAAGTTGTGGACCGATTTACTTGATTCTTGCATGAAAAGATCCGCCATTCAATTCTTAGCAGATAACGAAAATTTGACGTCAATTGCACGATCCGCTGCCCATATTGTGGTACTGCCATCTATTGACAAGGCTGGCGAACTAAAGCCGGGCGGCTATTTCCACTTTTGACACACCATGACCGGAGGCCGCTCAAACACCACCGCCCACCGAAAACTAAAGGTGTGCTGCATAGTGCATACCATTCAGTTACAATGTGTACCTCTAACTCGCCTCCTCACGCCGAAAGTAGGACACGGTGACGCCTCGTGGTTTTTGAGAGTTGAGACTCATCTTACTTACTCGTTAGTGCTGTGCCTATTTTGTGCCTCTCTTTCAATATAACGAGACCAGCACACTCCCGCCATGTATCTACGCCTCACGCCAGTGCGCCTGGGACATATGTGAGACTGTGTAATGTGTTTCACCTGTGCTATTGTGTCAGCCCCTTGAATTTCTTTAACATCGCGTCCTTCGTGTGTCGCGGCAGGCTCGTGGCTGACGCTAGACCGTCTGCGCGGCTCGCTGGAGGCCGTCTATGACGTGACCGTGGTGTACGAGGGCAGCTATCGACACCGGGAGAGACGGCGGGCCAGGACCGTGGCGCTCATCGGTGAGCTGGCACGGGGACAGACTGGAACGGGAGGCACGCCGGTGCACTGATCGTGGTATCGCATGGTGTATGCGTGTTTGAGGACCGTTTAAGTGTCTGGACTGTAGTTCTTTGCGTTCTTACATTTCGTACTTGGTGGCCGTCACAGACTCGTGGAGTATGCGGTGGAGTAGCTTCGATGCCGTCATTAAGGCTTGTCTTTTTATTTCAGACTTCCTGCGTGGCTTTTGCCCGGCGATGCATATCCACGTGCGGCGTATCCCAATCTCAGAGGTGCCCACCGACGAGCAGGAGTTTCAGCGATGGATGTACCGGCTCTACGAGCAGAAAGACAGGTAAGTGGCTGTGCTCGCTGTGCTTCGATGTCCTGTAGATACACATTGACTAATGACTATTCAGTATTGATAGTCTTGCCTGCCAGTGCCCGTGCCGTGACCCAGTTGTCCATGGCCTGTTCAGTGTTCATTCCCATGCCGTGTCATCCCATGTTGATGCGCTCAGGTGCTCTTCACCCGGCTTCCTGTCAGTAGTCTCCGCCCCGTCCGTAGCCGGCGCTCCCCGCCCTGTCCTGCGACTGACCGTCTGTTCACGGCAGGTTCGTGTCGCCGTTCTACTCCCCGTCAGACGACTCGGGCGCCGAGCTGGCGGCCCGGCTCGGCGGTCGGCCGCACCCCCTGCCTCTGACCGCCACCGTGCCCTCGCTGATGGCGTTCGCGGCGCTGGCCGTGCCGCTGCTGGGCTCTGAGTTGGGCCGCCGCCTGTACGCCGGTACTCTGCTGTACGGCACGCTGGCCGGGTACCTGTGGCTGGGCATCCGGGCGGTCTGCTGAGCGCCCAACTCCGACCGGCCGGCTCGGCCACCAGTAGTAGCTCATCTAGACGTCTATGTATCAGTTGGTGTACGTAGTGTGACTTTACGTGCTGTGATTACGTTCGGTGGTGACGTGAAATCGCACCTAATGCAATCCTTTTCCAAGACGGGTCGGTGTGCAGTCGGCGGCGACTAGTGCCACCCAGTGTTACGAGAGGTGTCCTAAGAGGGACGGGCTGCTCAGAAACATCAGGGAGGTGAAGTCCTGGTAGTGCACAAACAGCCAGGTAGCTGGTCATTCAACCAGACCTGCCTTGAGTTGGTTTTTAGCTGTTTTACGCTGTACTTCTTACGGCCTTGCCCGTCTTATGTCGCTGCCACTGAGTTTGAATGTGAGCTTACATCTTGACAATGGATTGTTCCCGCGTTCTGTGATGTTACGAGTCGGATAAGTCTCGCCGGCCTTACCATATGCACTTGCCACTTGGACGATGCTCGATGCACTCTCCCAGTCCTGACGTACCTGTTTGATTCGTTACGCCAACGAACAATCGGAACGGTAGGAGTGGCGCCTGCTTACTGCCTTTAACAATCGAGTTTACTATGTTGTGCATGCTGTGTGTTCTGCTATGCATATGCTGACGATCTCAACCCCGGCCAGAAATAAGCGGTATTACTGCACGCTGTTGCAGTTTGTGTCTGCCATTTGTGTTTGGTGATTGTTGTCTGTGCAATAAGCTGTGAAGTGTGCCGTGTCCAATAAACCAGCGAATGTGCAGCTGCAGACTTTTTCGGCTGACAACGAAGCATTTCCACACCTTTATCTCGGCAATATTGAATGAACAGCTGTCTAAGGAACCTACCATTTAGCCACTTAATATAACGTAATTTTATCCATTATTTGAGCGACATCAGCAATCAATATATATTTCATAGTCACAACAGCACACCGCGCAGAGAGTATGCTCAATAAACACATCTGAGTTAAAGCCACACAAACAGCACTGGGCTACGAGCCAGACCTCCCGGACCGCAGAGCGTCATTTCATCAGATCTTGCCACTCTACAATGCGCGCACGATTGGATAGTATCCTCCATCCGAGGCAAGCATTCATAGAAGCATCACCCGCCTCCAATCACTCCGGAGGCTGCTCATGATAATCCGGCGTAACAATGCTGGAAGTCTCGACACTAATTACCCGACTCTAAAACCAAGGCAGGCTGCGTCACTGCCTGTGCCGAGACGAAGTAAACGGTGAACAAGCACAAGCCTCCACCTACTCCACTCCTTGGGTTGAGCTCTCAGTGAAGTGCCTTATCCGGCCTGCTTTCTCCGAGAGTTCCGAGACTTCTCCATTAGAAGAAGGTGCTTTGGAGCCTCCGTAGTATCTCGACCGGCCAGTGCCCACATGGAGTCAGCGTCATCCGGGCTGGGCTCACCGTGCTGTCCTTACAAGGGCCCATGTCCCGCGGACCTGGGCCCGGGGTAGAACCCTGTCCGGGCAGTCTGCCAGGAGTATCCCGTATCCTCTGCGCCGACCGCTACAGCCTCGTGCTGCCGTCTCCGTCCGCCGGCCGCTGGTCGTCCCCGCCGGCCGCCGGCGCCGCCAGCGCCACCGCCTGCAGCGCGCCCTCCAGACCGGTCTCCGACTCAGCCGCAGCGGCGCCCTCTGCCCGGATCCCGGCCACGCCCTTTTTGGCGGCCGAGGCGAGGTCGCGTTTGACGCGCCGCCGTCGCGCCGGGTCCGAGCGGCGCAGCTGCAGCATCGTCTCGAAGTCGACCACGTACCGGTACCCGGCCACGAGCAGCTCGGCGCGCTTCTCGCCGCCCGTGAAGGCCGCCTCCAGGTCGGCCGCCGTCCGCTCATCGTACTTCCACCAGCCTGAAACGGAGCGGCCGGCGTCAGCAGAGTATGTCCAAGGCAGGGGAGAGGAGAGGAACGCTGCTAAGCTACGGGCGAGAAGAACGCCAACACCAGGCAGTGCCGACTGATCACAATAAACTGCTGCGGTACTGCGCTTAGATCGAGACTCGATTCGATTCTCAGCTTCAGTTATATCAGTTGAATAGGTACGGTAAATCAATTCAAATAAACAAATATCTGTCTCAATTTCGATTGTTATTATTGTTCATAATCCACAAAGTTGATCATATGTATGTAGAACTACAAAAGCACCACCACCGCCACTCTACCGTCAGGGCCATCACTAACATGACATGTCCTTCAGACAGTTAGAGAGGAGGAAAAAAGAGAGGGCGAATGTATCTGGTGTGTGACAGACCGTTGCGTCCCTCGTAGAACCACTGGTAGCCGTCGGTGAGCGCCATCTCGAGCTGGAGCTGCTCCGTGTCCAGCAGCAGTGGGTTGTCCAGGTAGTCGGCCGGCACCTCCGATCGGCACATGGCGCACCTGAGGGCGACGAGTGTTGTCAGAGACAGACAGACAGACAGACAGACAGACAGACAGACCGACAGACACAGATTTACAGTCCACAGACATAGACAGACACCTCCGACGGGCACATGACACCTCTGGGAGCGACGGGCATGGTCAGAGATGGTCACAAATTAGAGTAGCATACAGATAACAGATACACAGACATAGACAGCTCCGACCGGCACATGGCACATCTGAGGGCGAGTAACGACGGTCAGAACAGGATAAGGAGGTAGACAAAGGGACAACTCCGACCAGCACATTGCGTACCTCATGATGACGAGCATTGTCGGAGACAGACAGAGAAACAGAGAGACAACACAGTTCAGGCAGATGCCTCCAACGGGCACGAGGCGCACCTGACGCCGAGTCCGGTCAGCGGTCTAAACAAGGCAGCAGTCACGGCGCCAGCCCTTCTTCCATCCTTCAGACCTCGGCCGGTGATCAAAAGACCACGGCCGGCTTCAGCAAACTAACGTGGTCAACGCTACGTGCACTATGTCGGAGCAAGGGGCTACTCTATCCGTTCGATATAAATGAAACAAGACCCTGCTACTCTTAACAGACGCCGATTGACTGTGATGAAGTGCATTACCGTCGTGAGTTTTTGATGGCGCCTTTGGCGCAGAGGAAGCAGAAGACGTGCTGACAGGGCAGCTGCACCGGGTGGACGCAGGTCTGGAGGCAGATGGCGCAGTCGGGGCGGCCTTCCAGCCCTGCGGCCGAGCGGGGAGATCGTTAAACGCGGGAAACACGGATCACACAGGTCAGGCTGGAACGGCTATCACCGTTCGAATAACACGGCGATTTGCATGAAAAAAAACATGCAGAGAAGCAAAAGACGTCATACCTAAGCTTTCACTTTACCGGTAAAAACTAATAATCCTTCGATAAAATGGGAAACTGCTCACCCTTTCGGTTTGATGTTTCATCGCTGTTCCGCGGGCTTGTACGGCAAGACGTTGGGCTTAGCGATGAAGGGGTTTCAGTATGTGACTGCATCTGGAAAAGTCCATGAAATCATATGTAATGTACAGATATGCGACGAACATAGTCGCCGTGTTCGATAAATACTGTGCAAATGGTATCAGAAACTCACACTTGCTGCTCTCCATCATACAAAAAACAATGATGGGAAAGGATCCTCTCACAGCCGTGTTCCAGGGTCCGATGTCGCCGTCTAGAATACCTACCCGACGCAGGTGCTCACCGTTGTGGCCGTGGCCGCCGCAGCAGTCGGCGGCGTCGGGACCCTCGCGGCTGGCTGGCCCACCACGGGACCGTCGCCAAACTCAGGGGGAGGCGGCGGCGGCGGAGGCGATTCTCGGCGACGCTGGGCACGAACCACGCCATGTCGACCCCGCCCAGCGCCGGTGACTGGCCTGGTTCTCGGAGAGCCAGGGCTGCCCTGAGCATTGTCAGTGTCCACAGCTCCAAACAATGATGAGCCAGTTTGAGGGTGCTCTTCAGAGGTATCTTGGTTAGAATGACTACTTAAGCCACCACCAGCTGCTAGGTTGTCATCTGAGCTTGGAGCATGGGTAGACTCTGAATGATCTTCCATGTCTTGACAATTATGTCCTGGGAAAGAAAATGCAATATTAGCCATCAAACAAAAAAGAACTTTGATATCCATTGTGGAATAACTGGGATATTGATGGGGATGACTGAGGGCTGAACAAAAAGTATTCTACCCTTAGAAGTAGGTAGATTAAGGTCAGCCCAAAGCAACTTATCCATGTAGGTACTATTGGTCTCAAGATAAGGGCCCCTAGGCGACCTGTAGTTCGGATGCTGTAAATACCCTCACCCTCGCCACAGCTCGAGAGGAGGTGGAGCTGGGTGGGAGGAGGGGAACACTCGGCCCGAGCTGTGGTGAGGGTAAGGATACTCACCCCATCAAAACTACAGGCCGCCTGGGCCCTTATCTTGAGACCAATGGTTCCAAACAAACCAGTGACGGGAGATCAGAGGGCAGTGGCAATTCGCAAAACATGCTAAATATACATTTTGCACATTTGCATTGCTCTGCTAGGACCAAGGCCATATATATAGGCTAGGACATAACTCGAATTAGAGATTTTTCAGGTTCTCAGGACTACAGATAAGTAAAAAGACACGTGAGGTTGTCGGCCTATGCAAAATGCAAATATATGGCACGCGCATTTCCAGACGTGCCAGACACTATCAGTAAATTGCAGTAAATTGCGAAACTTGTACAATTGTTTTGTTCAAGTTTAGTTAGGCTTGTAACATCTGTCGACATGTGGAGGTGTAGAATAAAACCTCATCGCATTTCGAGAGATTCCACATTTTGTTATCTTGGCGAGCTGCTCTCCTAGCCCAAGTGATATGCCAAGAAGCCTGAATATTTCGCCTTTTAAGGCAGAATCCGCCTTGATATTTAAAAGTGCTTTTGGCTAGTATTTAGGCGTTTAGGCCAAGAGAAGAAGAAAGTAAAAATATGGCAGCTCTAAAGAGCGCAGTGTGAGCACAGTTCGCACCACATTTGAAACTTTCGCGTCAGTAATTGTCAAACAATTGTATTAGCAAGGCCCTAAATACATGTATTAGGACCTCCAGTGCGTATATTTTTGTCAATTTCATAGCCACCACATCCTTTATTTTGCCTTTAGTGCAGGCACTTACTTTGCCTTTAGATGTCATTCAAAAGACACGTAGAATGCCAAGCAGCTCGTTTCCTTGGACTTTTTACAACTTTCAAGGAACAACGTTTTGGATATCTTACCATGGATTAGGTATTCCTGGATCGGACACTCCGCCGATTTTCCGACCACCCGGCGGCGGCGGCGGATTTCCCGACGGCGAGGGCGCTGGCGTCATTTTAGCATTGCGGGCTATGGGCGGAGCGTGTCTTTTTGTATACTTTTGTCGTTTATTACTTACCTATAACCGATTTTGATGAAAATTTTTGTGAACCAGGTAGAACAGGAATTGAGGAATGTCATGGAAATATTCTTTTCCCAGTTTTGATTTAAGAAGTTGCTTAAATTCTGCTGACAAGTGAGGATTCGTGATTACAGCCGAAGAGCCAATGTTGGAATAAAGTTACGTTTTATGCGATAACATGAAAATAAGTTGATATTTGTATTAAATCATCAAAAGGAACTTGTTTGACTGCCGAGGAACGATGATATTTGATGATAAATTGCATCGGCAAGTCAAGAATATCAGGCTCAGTTTATGGGCATCAGGTACTGATTCCGTATGTGATAGTGACTAAATGGAGCCATAATAATTATAAGAAAGGACTAAAAATTATGTTTAAAGTGTCTGAAATTGTGTCTTATGAGCTAAAGTTCGCTAATTTCGCCCTCCATTACCGCGTTTTTAGCACGCAAGCCGGTGCGGCGGCCGCCGGCGCACTCGCCGCCGATGTTTCGGAGCTCCGCCACCAGGGCGGCCGCTTGGTCGCCGGCGCTAGTGTTGGGGAATAGGGAGTGTCCTATCCAGGAATACTTCATCCATGTCTTACCATTCCCTTGTTGATAATTGTTCTACCCAAGATACAGCTCAAGGCTATATAAACCATACAGCTGATACAGGCTTTGTTGCAGCTGGAATTGCTGGCATGAATTTTATTCTGAGACACAGCGCCCCTACTGCCACACAGTCCACACTGCACTGAAATCAAAATAGAACCTCTATTACAATTAGGAGTTCGGACAATTTTGATTTAAACATAGATCAAAGCCAATACCAGCTGTTACGATGCATTCACCTCTAGATCAAGATACTGCCTACTGTGCGGTGTGGTGGTGGTGGTAGCGATGGTTTTGTTGCTCATGTCAAACCATTTTGTTGAAGCAGAGATTTGTGATGATGCTTCTTCAAGTCATAATTGCAGTGTCCAATTGTCAACTCATGGGGTCATGTATTGGTTTCATTTATGACACAGTTTTTATTTTTCCAGGTACCAGGCTGCCCCACTTCATCAGGAGCATGGCAGCTGCTTTCATGGAACTGGGCATAATGCCCGAGATAGGGGAGGCAGTGAGTGAGCTGGACTGGCTGCTGCCCACTGATGTTCAGGCCGAGGCTGTGCCTCTGATTCTTGGTGGTGGTGATGTTCTCATGGCTGCTGAAACTGGATCTGGCAAAACTGGTGCATTCTGCATGCCAATCCTTCAGATTGTCTGGGAGACACTGAAGCGCATTGAGGAGGGAAAGGGCGGCGGCAGTGGCGGCCTGTCAGCTCCGCCAGCTGATGACAAGTGGGCGATGTCGCTGCGGGACCGCGGCGAGCTGCTGGCAGTGTCTCCGGACGGTTTGGTGTGCCAGTGTCGCGAGCAGCGCGCCTGGTACGGAGTGCGGGCGACGCGTGGGCTCCGCCGCGCCGGCCGCTGGTACTACGAGGCCACGGTAACCGACGAGGGTCTGTGTCGCGTCGGCTGGTCCACGCGCCAGGCCACTCTCGACCTGGGCACCGACCGTGGCGGATACGGCTACGGAGGCACCGGCAAAAAGTCCAACAACCGGCAATTCGACGACTACGGAGGTCCGTTCGGAAAAGACGACGTGATCGGTTGCTACCTTGATCTGGACAACCTCGAGATGTATTTCTCCAAGAACGGAAAAGATCTGGGAAAGGCGTTTGACATCCCAAAACAGTTGGCAAACGAAGGTTTGTTTCCCGCAGTCGTACTGAAAAACGCAGAGATGGCGTTTAACTTCGGCGACACCAGTTTCAAGTATCCACCAAGCCATGGTTTCGTGGCCGTCAGTAAAGCACCGGAAGACAGCACCTTGAACAACGCTGCTTCGGCGCCGCAGGCAACGGCGAAGCGCGGATACGCCAAAAATGCTCCCCAGGCCATTATTCTGGAACCATCTCGTGAGCTTGCCGAACAAACGCTACGGCAGATCCAGCTGTTCAAGAAGCATCTGAAAGCTCCGACAGTGCGAGAGGTGCTTCTCATCGGCGGTGTGCCGGCTCGCGAACAGCGCGACCAGGTGTTAGCGGGGGTCGACATCGTGGTGGCGACACCGGGCCGAATCGAGGACTTCATCAACAACGGCGACGTACGGGTGGACGCGTGCCGGTTCTTCGTGCTGGACGAGGCGGACGGGCTGCTGAAGCAGGGTCACGAGAAGATGATCAACCGTCTGCACGCGGCGATCCCGCAGGTGACGCCGGACGGGGCGCGGCTCCAGATGGTCGTCTGCTCGGCCACGCTGCACTCGTTCGAGGTGAAAAAGATGGCCGGCAGACTGATGCATTTCCCCACCTGGGTGGACCTGAAGGGCGAGGACGCCGTGCCGGAGACGGTCCACCACGTGCTGACCATGATCGACCCGCGCACCAACGCCTCATGGACCGACCTCAAGCAGCGCGTGCAGACGGACATGGTGCACGCGAAGGACAACGTCCGGCCCGGCTCCAACTCGCCAGAGACGCTCTCCGAGGCCGTCAAACTGCTCAAGGCAGAATTTTGTGTCCGCGCCATCGACGTCCACAAAATGGATCGTGCGCTCATCTTCTGTCGAACCAAGCTAGACTGTGATAACTTGGAGCGGTACCTGGTTCAGCGCGGCGGCGGACCGCGTAACCCCAGCAACCCCTACTCGTGCGTGTGCCTGCACAGCGACCGCAGCGTCGGCGAGCGAAAGGATAACCTGGAGCGCTTCAAGCGGCAGGAGGTGCGTTTCCTGATCTGTACGGACGTGGCGGCCCGCGGTCTGGACATCACCGGCCTGCCGTTCATGATCAACGTCACACTGCCGGACGAGAAGACGAACTACGTGCACCGTATCGGCCGGGTGGGCCGCGCCGACCGGATGGGTCTGGCCGTCAGCCTGGTGTCTGCTGTTCCGGAGAAGGTGTGGTACCACGGCTGCCCGTCGCGCGGCAAGTCGTGCATGGACACCCGTCTGACGGAGCGCGGCGGCTGCTGCATCTGGTACGACGAGGTGAAGCTGCTCGGAGAGATCGAGGAACACCTAGGCATCACCATCCCTCAGGTGGGCAACGACCTGCGCGTCCCCGTCAACGAGTTCGACGGCAAGGTGGTCTACGGAGAGCGGCGCCAGGAGAGCGGCACTGGATATCAGAACCACGTGGAGCAGATGGCCTCCACGGTCCGCGAGCTGGCCTCGCTGGAGACGCAGGCGCAGACGCTCTTCATTCGACGCCACCTGCACCGGTTGACGGCCTGAACGGCCACCCCCAGCCCCGCCCGATGTGATATACCCTGTCCTGCCAGTGATCTGGAAAACCTCTGATAATACTAACCACGACAGACGGTCCTCGGCTGAGAGGCAGCCTGGCGGGGTGCCCGCGATCATGGTTGTTTTGGACGTTTCTGCTGTGTAGTGGGTCTTGTTTTGCACTGGTTCGTTTCAGTCACTGTATTAGCGAGCCATCTTTTTGTTACGAGTGATTCGAAAATATATGTCAGCTATGAACATACTTCTAGAGTTCTTGAACCGCCTTCGATATTGTATCAAACTCTCAGATATAAATTGAACTTACTGTTGTTAATGTTGTAAACTTACTGCCTGATGTTGAAGTTAGGACGGAAACCGATTAATTTCAAGTCAGCTGAAAGCTCACAAAGAAGAAATGATTGCTGAGATATCAACGTTGCCCTTTTTATTCGCTAGTTTCCCATCACCTCTAGCCCACCTGAAAATAACTACCTTGTGAAAACATCTCCAGTTAAGAACCCGTTGCACGCCAACGACAAACACGACTCCGGTGTCTGCGGATTTATTGAAATTGCTAACGCCGCCGTTGATCTCTCCATGGCCCGCACGGAGCTGTGGTGCGCGCGCTCGCCGCTCGCTGCCACTCACACGGTCTACCCACGGGCGGGCGGCACTGGTTGGCTCAGGCTTCTCTGACGCCGCGTAACCGGGCACTGGCGGTGCGGTGGCACGACAGGGGTGCGGGCATGCAGCCGACAGGCCACGGGGCCGGCCGGGGAACCGAGGACAGCCGAGCGTGCCTCAGTACGGTATAACGGTACTGCGTCAGACCCAGTGCAAGGCTTGTCCCGGTCCATAGGGACGGTCAGAGTCGGTATGTGGGCGGCGGGCCGCCGTCTGCTGCAGCAGCAGGTGCCGCCGCTAACCTGACCTGCCGCGAGCGGGTCAGAGCCGCCTCCGCGGCTAGTCTGACGAACTGGCTCATCGCGGACCCTGCAGCCCGACCATCGGTCTCACGCTCGCCCCCGCGACAGCCTGGGTCGCGCACGGCAAAACAAAGTAACCAGCAAAAATAAGAATATAAGCAACAGTATCTTTGTTACTAAGCTAAATGCGGCTGGCTGCGGCTGTGCGGCGGCTTCGTGTCGTGGCACGCCGCACCGACCGCAGTGGGTCTGGGCCGACTCGTGCGCCCACCGTACGGCGGGGAGCCCCGCGCCGCCGCACACGGCACACCCACACGCACCCCGGCAAACCCCGAGAGCTAAGATAAGATTTACGTGCGTAAATAAAGTAATTGCCAAACATCTCACGATAAAAGCACCAAGGCCATGAGAAGACGGGCACTGCACGGGCGGCCGGGCGCTGCAGAGTTTAGTATCCTCACTGGTTTCCACGCCAGATTCACTCCTGCTGCTTCACACATTGGTGCGACTCACTCACTAACAACGCAACCTTCTTAGGGCCCTTCACGAAGTTGACATTTGCCGGAAATCTAGAAAATACAAAACACTTTGCAGCCGCTCACCAATGAAAGTAGCACCGGGCGCGACAGCATGCGCGCGCCCATCACACTTTTCGGCGGCGTGCGCACGCGAAACTTGAAGCGACTCCCGTCGTGTATTTGCGAGGGGTCGTCAGCTCGTGAAAGACCCTGAGCTTGCTGTGTGGCGGGGCCAGCCCTGCTGTGGCCCGACCGGCGCCGGGGCGCACACGTCACGTGATGTCCGACTCTGTCCCCGCGCCCGCCGTGTGGCGCGGGCGCGTCGGTCACATGACCGACGGCGCTGTCACATGAGTCGGCGTCGGACGCCGCTGGGCGCGGGCTAGAACTCGAACCGCGGCGGCTGGTCCTGGTCGATGGGCGCGCCCGGGGCCGTCTCGTCGCCGGTCTGAGGGAGGAGGGCACGGGTCAGAGAGGGGGCAGGGGACGGCGGGACCGACACCTGACGCAGGGTGCTGCGAGGCGGGGCAATTGGCAATGAAAAATAGCGTGGTGCCATCCCAGATTGGAAAATGCATGCAAGTATTGGCGGACAGCAGCAAAAAAGTTCGAGCAAAAAGGTGTATAAAACCAAAATACCAAAATGAGTGAAGAGCACGATGTGGTAAAAGATTTCATGGATTATTATTCAGAAACCCTTACTTTTTCGTTATCACTCCAGCGTTTCAAAATTAGCAGGCACAGTCAGACACTGGTGAGTCGGAGTGCAGCTGAGGGCGACCGATCTACTCTATTCCCCGTCAGACCTCCGACGCACGTACGGCAGTTCGCCGACCCACCTCTATATCCTCTGAGAAGTACCGCTCGATGATGTCGAACGTCAGCTGGTAGATGTCGGGGTTCTCGTGGCTCTGCAGCGCCTCGATCTTGTCCAGGCCGCCGCACTCCTCGATTATCTGCGCCACCGCGTCCACGTCTTCGCTTGACTTGAGGATGTTGTTGAGGCCGTCCAGCACCACGTGGACGACCTGCGGAGGCGGCGGCGGCGGGATCGTCAGCTACCGAGGGATGGCTCAGGATCGAGGGGGAAATCAAATAAATCGAGACAAAGGACAGGTGTCATGGACTACAATCCACCGTCCATCTATGGGACCAACTATTATTCAAATCATAATCTGCGTCTGAACGGCGAACAAGCGATTATTAATGCCGGAATAATCAAACTCCATAGGATGGATTCATGACAGAAACATCCCTGGCCGTACGGCCGCGTGAGCCACCCCGGTCTGGCCAGCCCGGTGGGTGTTCTCACCTGCGGGTCCTTGCAGTCGAGCAGCTGGCACATGGGCGGGATGCCGCCGGCCTGCACCAGGTGTCGGATCTGCTCCGGGCTGCCGCTGATGGTCAGGTTGCTGATGCACCAGGCGCACTCCTTCTGGGTCTGGAACTCGCCCCGGGCCAGGTGCTGCACCACCAGCGGCACCAGGCCGTGCTCGATCACCAGCTGCACCTGCTCCTGGTTACCGGCCGTGATGTTGGACAGGAACCAGGCCGCCTCCTGCCGGCGGAGACACGGCCGTCAGACAAGGCAGCACAGCGCTCTGATACCGTAAAGCCCTGGCTACACTATTCGTTTTCTGCGTGCGTTTTTTTTTTTTTTTTTTGCGAGTTTACGTGTTTCCGTAATATTGTAGAAAAAAAAACAAACAATATAACGCTTTTGTGATATTTTTATATTAGCTTTTAGTTCATATAAGTTGTATTAACTTTTATATATAAATAATAAAAAGTTTCATTAATTATAACTTTTTCTAGAACGATATTACGCAAAACACGCAAACTCGCAAAACACGCACGCAGAAAACGCATAGTGTATCCAGAACTTCAGATCAGATCAGATCAGATCAGATTTTTCTCGGGGTGTTGGCTTTGCAACGCCACCCCATCCGTATTATCTTCGTCTGATATTTTATCGATTCTTGTGATCTTCCTCTTTGGCGTTCATTTGTTATTTCTACATCTCCATAATTGGTATAAGTTGTTCTTCTTTTCCTCCATTGACTGGTGGCAGTCATTTTCAAAAAGGAAGTCTTCTAGTACTTTATCATAGTCCTCGATATATGGTTGTTGGAGTGCCATGATGGAGTTCCTAGCATCTTTCAGTGCGGGACAGAAGAGCACGAAGTGTTGGATATTTTCTGTTTCCGCCCCGCACAGCTCACAAGCGGTGCTTTCCTGACTGTGCCTTTTTCTATCATGCAATGGTAACGTATTCGTGCGAGCCCTGAATAGTATGCTTGATGCTGGTGTATTGTCGTATATTGTTTCTTCCTTAATTTCTTTCTTTCGGCGTTTGTACATTGATATACTCGTTTTATCGTTCATTTCAGAGAGCCACTGCTGACTGTCCCAAGCTCTTAGCTTGTTCTTTACTGCACATTTCTTCATGTTTCTTAGCTCGGGAATTCGGAGTTGCACCATTGCCAGGTATTCAGCTGTAGTCTTTGCCCATTTTGTCCTTTTTTCTTCCAGCTGGATCCGGATGACTTCTTTTAAGAGTTCATTTGTCCCTTGCATTGTGCTTCTTATGTATTGCAGGTGGCCCTCCATGATCCTCGTTTTCATCTGAGATGCCCCCACGTCTCCGCGTAGAGTACAACTTGGTGCATACCTCGGAGCTCCCAGTATTTGTCTATAAACGGAGTTTTCATAGATTTGTAGTTGCCTTGTTTCTTTGTCGCTTAGTGATATGATGTTGGAGCCATAGAGTATTGACGGGAGCGCTAGACTTTTCCAAAAACATTTTCCAATCATTAGCTTGTTGCAGCTTTTGCCGATCATGCCCATCGTCATATTAGACATTTTCTGAGCTTTTCGGATCATTGCCTTTTTATGCTCTTTAAACATGTTTTTCTTGTTGTTAATGGTTACTCCTAAGTATTTTATGTCGTTGACGACCGGTATTCCTTCGATCTCGTTAGGTTGTTCTTTGCTGTTGTAGATGACTACGGCACTTTTCTCTTTGTTAATCGCCAAGCCAAAACTTTCGCTGGACTTCGCTAGTGCCTTCAACATGACCTTCGTGTCTTCCATAGATTGACTAATTATCAAACCATCATCTGCGAAAAATAATAACGGTATGTGTACGTGTTCGTTTCGGAACCCTTTTTCTGTCGCTGAAACACTCTTCATAATTAGGTATGTCACAATCTTGAAATAGCTCGTGCTTCCGGTACAACCTTGTTTTATCCCACTAGTTACTTCTATTTCTTCTGTAATGTCCTCATTGAGCTTGATTTGTGTGACGTCTCCGGTATAGATTGAGGCAACTGAGTCAATCACCTTTGGATCGATCTTGTAGTATTTCAATGCTTGGATATCTTCCCTCTTGCTACAGAGTCAAACGCTTTGCTGTAGTCCACCGCTACTACGAAAAGAGGTTTCTTCTTTCTGTAGCTCTCATCTACGCAGTAGTTTAGAAGGAATAGGTTGTCCTCCACCCGCCCTCCTCTCGTGAAGCCGGCTTGAGTCTCTAGTATCTCGTTGTTTTCTTCTAGATGATTTT